GGGGGGGGGGAAGATGGCTTCAACTGTTGAGAGGTTGATGATTGTGTATAGGCTTATTATACCATTTTAAACACATACACATACAGGCGGAAGAGTTATCACTGGCCTACTGGTCTGTGTCTGTCTGCGTATATTCAGGGTTCTTCACCAAGTAGTTTCCGTTGGTTTCTACTTTGATATGGGTCTCGCCGACCTGACTGTGAATTTGTAGAACAAGAAGAGGAAACAGGAATTGCCATTCGTTCCTTCTAATACTTATGAATCATAATAAAGAACGTTGTTGTCGCTAGAGCTGTATCCTCTCTGAGTTGACAGGACACACCTTTAGCCCTTTTGCTGCTTGAAACCCCATTTGCTTGCCTCTTCAACTCGACTTTCTTCTGTGTATTCTCTCCACATGTGAACATATATCTCTCCCCTCTCGTAGCCTTGTGCGGGGTTGTATGCGGAAAGGAAGAAAAGACCGGTGCCGGTGGGAGGTCTCACTTCGTATGGTGTGCCGTGTCGTGTGTGGACCCGGCTCTCTCCCCCACGACGACTTGCATTTATTTATATTCATTGGAATATTATTCCGTCTTCTACAACACCACGACTACATAGCATTGTGCCATGCCCATTGACTGCTGCTACATGTGCCTGTTCTTGTAAAGACATATTCTCTCTCTCTCTCTGCCTCTCTCTGCAAATTACGTCTCCAGCGCTTCGTGGGGCGCCCGACCCAGCGACGTTTCCGCAGTCACCCGTTCGTTTCCGTGCTTAATCCTGCTTCACTTCGAGCTCCATCTCCCTCACGCGATCACCCCGAGATATCTCCACATCTTTCTTCCTCACTCTCCTTCTCTTCTTCCTCCTCCTCCTCCTCGCTCTCCTCCTCAACCTCCCCTCCTCTCCCTTCAATCACCTTCTCTCATCATCCACATCCATCCTCTTGAACAAACCCAACCTCCACCGCCGAAATGACTCCCCCCCACAAGACCAATGGCGTGGGCGTCCAGGCCGGGGATACTCAGATCTGCGTGGTCATGGTTGGCCTCCCAGCTCGAGGAAAGTCTTTGATTGCGCAAAAAGGTATGCAGCTACCCCTTTGCTTGGCCTCGGCCGCCTCGCAGACCTTCGATTGACTTCTTGCTCCCCCACAGCCCAACGCTACTTGAAATGGCTCTCCATCGATGCGATGGTCTTCAATGTGGGCAATTACAGACGCCAGGACTCCCCGCAGCCCGGAGCCGACTTCTTTGACCAGAGCAACGCGGAGGGTGAGCGGATGCGCCGAGCGGCTGCCGAAGCTGCTGTGACGGACATGCTGAAGTGGTTCGCAAAGGGAGGCGTCGTTGGGATCCTCGATGCTACGAACTCTACAAAGGCACGCAGACGCTGGGTCAAGGAACGATGTGATGCACAAGGCATAGAGACTCTCTTCGTCGAGTCGCAGTGCGACGACGAGGACATCATCATGAGCAACATCCTCGAAGTCAAGACTACATCCCCCGATTACCAGGGTCAGGATCCCGAGACGGCTGTCCAAGACTTTCGAAAGCGCATTCGCAATTACGAGAAGGTTTACCAGACCATCGACGAGGAGGAGAACGATTTGACCTACTTGAAGATCATGAATGTTGGCAAGCAGGTCATCATCAATCGGATCCAGGACTATTTGCAGAGTCGTGTGGTCTACTACCTCATGAACCTGCACATTAAGCCTCGATCGATCTGGCTGTCGCGTGTAAGCTTCTCCAGCCTCTTGTTACAAGAATATCAACTGACCTGAATAGCATGGGGAGTCGGAGTTCAACCTCGAGGGCAAGATTGGTGGTGACGCAAACCTCTCTCCACGAGGGGAGATGTATGCTAGGAAACTCCCAGAGCTGGTTCGCCAGTCTGTCGGTGTATGTATCTCCTCCCCCTTAACCCTAAGCATCATGCTTCTCTCCTCATCTTGTCAAATCCGACTAACCCTCCCAGGATGATCGTCCCCTTACCGTCTGGACCTCGACTCTCAAGCGCACCATCGCAACCGCCCGCTTCCTCCCCGAAAACTACAACCAACTCCAATGGAAGGCATTGGATGAACTCGACTCGGGAGTCTGCGACTGTCTCACTTATCAGGAGATCTCCGAGCTTTATCCGGAGGATTTCAAGGCTCGTGATGAGGACAAGTACAACTACCGCTACCGAGGCGGGGAGTCGTAAGTTTTCCCCACCCCTTTCATTTCATCAGCATGGCTACCGCCCCCTTCACACCTCTAAAAACGACCACCATACTAATACCCCTCAGATACCGAGACGTCGTTATCCGCCTGGAGCCGATCATCATGGAACTGGAACGCTCGGAGAACATCCTGATCGTGACCCACCAGGCTGTCCTCCGCTGCATCTACGCCTACTTCATGAAGAAATCCCAGGCCGACTCTCCCTGGATGGCCGTTCCCCTTCACACCCTTATCAAGCTGACCCCGAAAGCCTACGGAACCCTGGAGGAGAGATACGATGCGAAGATCCCCGCGGTCAGCACCTGGAGAGGAAAGGGCAGTGTTGCGAAGCATGAGGACCCTAACGCCACCACGGATTCAATTGGCAAGGCTGATGGTGCTGTTTGAGCGTACTGGCTGGTATTAAACTCCTGGTCGGGCGATGGCAGCTTGCTTAAGCTACTGGCATTAAGTTACCAGTCAGCAAACAGCGGCTGAGCTTGCTCACAGCACTCACGCTCCCGGCGATTTGCAACTGATGAATTTCCTTCTCCCCCCTTTCTCTTTTTCTGCACATGAAACGAACCTCAGCATGACGACACCAACACCACACTGGGACAGGGATATTGCACATACGGTTGATTTGAAATCAACGTTGATACAGGGAGGGGCCTCTAGCATAGCGATCTGGCGTTTTTCCTTTTTTAAACTCTTCCACGTTTTGCAGGGTGAATGAATGGATGGATGGATGGATGGATGGACGGATTGATTAGATGGCTGGCCATGCAACGTGGAATAACTACTCTACTACTAGTACTAGTACACTTACCTACTAAGTGCACAGCAAACCCAAGGTCATACATAATGCTCTTTCTATTTTCTTTTCTTTTGCATCCACCTCTTTGTTTCCGCTCCTGGTACGCAAGAAAAAGAATAGGGAATGGCGGTTGCGGTTGCGGTTTGCGGTTGCGGAGTTCTCGATTCGTTAGGTAAATAACTAAATGCTTAACTGAGTAGGTCGGGCTCGGAGTATCATGGAATGGAATGAAATGACAAATGAACAATGAAAAAAATGGGAAGTGGAAAATGAAATGCAAAAATAATTACTATTATGATTATGATTATTATTATGAGTTTCTTACTCCTGCTGCCTCGCAGCCTTGGATTAATCCGTCTTCGAGCTGAAGGTCTCGTTGCCGAAGAATACCCCAAGAACGTGATTAGTGATTAAATACTGGTTTGGAGAGGGCCAGTAACTGAGAGAGGACCAGTAGCTGAGAGAGGACCAGTAAGTGAGAGAGGACCAGCAACTCAGACTTTGAGATGCCTACATCTCAGAACTGCTGTAGATCCCAATCAATTCGAAACTCATGCTGGTAAGGGTGCAGAAAATTGGCTACCAGTGTCGTCCACCATGTTTGGTATCTACCGCCAAACTGTGACTTGGCATACTCCCAATATGCAGGCCACCAACCAGCCATCTCCCAGTCAATGAGCCCAGTGATCTTTCCAGTTGTGGGTTCAACAAATATATGGTCACCGCATAGGTCTGCATGAGTAAACACAATTCCATGATCATCTGCGAGCTGTTGGCGATATTGGTTAGCAAGCTCTTGGGAAAGGCATTCAGTCACAGGGACCACGAGGAAATCATTGAAATCCGATTCTGAAGCAAAGGGGCCGCAAGGACGGATATTGTCGATGCGATGGTCGTATGCTGGCCCACCATTACAAGACCCAATGTAGGCCGGCGTCGGAGGAGGTATAGCCCGTAATTCGTCGAGGTATTTGCGAAGGCCAGTCTGTGCCGCTCTGCGAGCTTCCTCATCCATGCTGGGGCCACGCATCCGTGAGAGAAGAACCAGACATCGCACTCATAGAGAACCAGCTGCTTCGATTCGCATCGTCCTCATTAACATGTATTTCGAAAACGGAGGGCACAGATATAGATGTATGCCGGCGAACAAAATCCATAGCCTCAACCTCTCTATGAATTCGGAAACCCTTTCCACGCTTGACATAGTAGTCTTCAACCTTTTGAGCGTTCTTGGGCCGTGGCGGAACAAACCTGGGAATTATTGGAAGATTTGGGTTTGACATGATGATCGAAGGAAAACGGTTTCTGGGAGGCTGCGGTGACCTCAAAGTAAGCTTGAACGAGAGTCCCGGCAGACGTGGTCACTCTTGTGATTACCTAGTTGCAATTCGATAAGTAAGGTAGTGTTTGGTAGGGGACTAGGTCGAGCGGTCGATGTTTGTTTGCTTTATGTTCAAATTATGTGTGGAGATCCACGAGGAGCTGCGCTGACTAACCAGCTACTGACTAAGCGACTCGCCTATTTAAAAAAATCAAAAAACTTCCTTTTGTAAATTCCTGTCTTTTCCTTCGACCAACATGTCTGGCAGCTGAGCACCACGATTTGCTCATCCCAGGCAGCGGGATGAGGCTCTTATTAATACGACATGGAGAGACCGTGGACAATGTTGCGGGAGTATAGTAGGTCCTTCCCTGGCCACTCTTCAATTGCCAATGCTAACCGCCCTCAGCGCTGGGATTCGCGATTCCCCTCTCACCAACCATGGCGTACTCCAAGCCTCACGCCTAGGTTCTCATTTGGCCTCTACCCATGCCAAGATATCGCACATCTTCTCGTCAGATCTGCAGCGTGCCTTCAAAACCGCCGAAGCTATTCGGAACGCTCAGTCTACCTCGTCGACAGTCATCCTGAAATCAGGGCTACTGCGAGAGCAAGACTTTGGTTACTACGAGGGGAGACCACACTCGGAGCGTCTGCCTGCACCAGGTAGACTGCCACAAGAGTCACTCGTTGAGAAGCATCGCAATGGTCCTGGGTTCCGTGATGTGGAGTCAAAGGAGTCGATGAGGGTTCGAATGGAAACATTCGTTAATTCACATCTTCTTGAGCACTTTGTGACGAGGACAGACGACGAGACCGTTGCTGTTGTGGCGCATGGCATTATTCTCACCTATCTATGGAGATGCATTCTGCAGCGATTCGACCACAAAAGCGTCCTCGTTGCCCCAGATGTAAACGTCGCCGATCGGGGTTTGGCCTTGCAGCATCTAGGTTTCTGGTCGAACACTGGATACCTGGACCTTGATATCAAGCAGGAGAAAGCCTCAGGCCAAGGCATGGGAACGCAACCAGAGCTGTCGGTTCCAGTGTCTAAACATACTGGGTTGGCACTTGATGGGCCAAGAGCTTCTAAACTCGTTTCCGAGCTCAGAGAACCCACATCTTCACATGGTATGGCATCTGTTCAAGAACGAATGCATGCCTCCTCAATCCATCCGCTCTCAAGTCTGTCACTAGTGGTAAAAGCAGTGAACAGCCAAGAGCATCTTCGAGGCTTGAAGAAGACTCGAGGTGGGATTGGGAGCATGAAGCATGATGCCAATCAGAAGACTATGGATGCTTTTGTCAAGAGGCGGAAGGTTGAGTGACCTTAGTCTGCGGTCTTATCACGGTCCGTCGTGCAAGCTGCAGGGCACACACGACGCCTCATGAACGCTGAGAACACTGGGTCAATTAAAAACAGGTAAGCCCTACAAATTCTCTTTCTAAGCAACCCCCTCGAAATGATGATAAAAAATAACACAGACCTGTTCTGAACAATTATGTGGACAAACTTATTCCAACTGCTGTCTGATCTCTTATATACCCTCTTTCAAATATTATATTCGTCTTCGTGGTCACCTGAGTGCTAACTTGGAGAATCAAGGCCTACCACCGTCACCAACCACGAGCGGGATTATGCGCAGTGGACGAAGCATGTCGAGATGTAGTCACCAAGCTGGGATGGATATTAGGTAGTGTCTACCGAAATCTACGCACCTATCCGAGTCACCTCAACTGGTATTGGAAATTCGAGCGCTATTCCCGAATATGCAAGCTTCAAAACTGAAGCTCTGACTTGCACCACCGGGTCTTAGTACCATTACAGCCATAGTACTCGCGTAGTACGGAATGTTACTTGTTTCAGTTGCTCGGTGGCCCTGTCGACTACTATAAGGTAGGTGGGAATAGCTTTGATCTTATGTTAGGGGATCTAGTTAATCGTAGAATTCATGGGCAAAACACCAGGACGTAGATTTACGTAGACTATCTAGGTAATACCCATCTCACCTTTTGAGATTTTATACCAATTGAAATATGAAATAAATCATCATCTCGTTTTATCTTCCAGGCTTTCCAGTCCATCATATTTCATAACCACCTGTGCAAAGATCTGATGTGGGTGCTCTGGATGGAAATAGAGCAGGTTTGGGGTATGTTTGTGAGTATGTGGTTTTTTTTTGGGGGGGGGGGGGGATTTGGGAAGGGAAGCTGATGAGAGCGGGGGAAAATTCAAGTAAATGATGCGAAGGGAAAGTCTACAATAAGACCCGGACTCATTCATGCATACAGTGAAAGTAAAGAATTAATCAATCACGGAGGAAGAATGTATTGTATTCATTGTGTTACTCATCTTGGGAAAGAGGGTGTGTGGGTGGGTGGTTCATTATGATTTTATATCATTCATTCAATCAATCAATCAATCAATCAATCAATCATTCATTTATTGAAAAAAATGGCCTTTTTTCCATTGAGTACTCAGTCATCTATCAATCAATCAATCATACCTACTAAGTAAGGGACAAAAAGAGATTCTTCCAGTTATCAGAAACCCCCAATAGGTAGGCCAAGTCCAACTATCCACGAGCGAGCGGTTAGACCGCCACGTTCTCAAAAGCGAAGGTTGGTACCCCCGGCACGGCACCCTCGGCAATGTGGGACAGGTTCTCGACCGGCCCGCCGCCGACGACGTGGCCTGTCTTTCCGCCCTCCTCCACCTTCACGATCTCGACCTGGCTGAGGCCGGCCGCCTTCTTCAGGCCGGGAACCATGTTCTTCAGGACCTCGATCTCGTCGAATGCGAGCTTGCGTTCGAAGACCATCTCTGGCTTCTCGCCGGCCATTAAGCGTTTCTTCAGGCCTTGCACAAATGGCATTGCTTTCTTCATCTCGCCCATCTTGGCAACCTTGGCATTGAGTGCCTTGTCATCTGTGCCCTTGCCTGGTATCCAGGCCTCTCTGACCAGGTCGATATACTTCTCCTGCCAGGCTGGGAATTTGGCTGCTGCGTAGATGGTGAGTTTCTTGGGCTTCTTGAGATCGTAGCCGATGTCTTTGCCCTTTGCGCTCTTCTTTTGTTGGGCTGCTTCGGCCGACGTGACGTTGGATGAAGTGGCGCGGACGTATTCGCGTGCTGCGGTTAGGGAGGCAACAGGTGCGGGAACGGTGGGGAAGAGTTGGTTTTGGATTGTGCTTGGTTTATGGAGGACCTCGAGCCAGATGTATTCGGACCAATGCGGTGCAATAACGGCAAGCAACAAGGCTTGCAATTCAATATACCGCAATACCAAGTCCTTGTGCATCTTGACCCCTGCGGCAGCAGAAGATTCACGGTAGAAATCTCTCGCGGAAATGAAATCGTAGAGCGCAGATTTCAACGCAAGTTTGTAGTTCGTGGCAGCATAGTGGTCATAACATTCTCGTACGATGGCGTTCATTTCGTTATCAAAAAGGGCGTCGAGGAAATCATTCTTCTCTCCCGAACGGAGATCAGCTTTGTCGGAAACCATCTCTTCACACCATTCCCGGAGGTTGAAGAGTCGGAGGATGTTGTTGTCTGCGACGTCTTCTTCAAAGTTGGCGTCTGCTACTGCATCACCCGCATCTGCCAAGGCGATTCTGGATGCGTCGGCGCCGTACTTCTTCACCATGTCGTCGAGGGTCATGAAGTTTCCAGTTGATTTACTCATCTTCTCACCATTTAGCAGCAAGTGACCATTGGTTCGGACACCTTTAGGCCAGTACTCTGGTGGGAAGATAGCAAGATGGATGTAAAGGAAGAATGTGAGATGGTTGGGGATGAGGTCCTTTCCAGAAACTCGGAGGTCCAATGGATACCAATATTCGAATTCTCTGCGCATAGATTCGAGGGCTGTCTTGGGGATTTTGGTTTCCGAGATGATCTCATCACTGAGCTCTCGACGGGCGAAGACATAATCCCAGACTTCGTCTGTCATTTGCTCTGGCTTGATGCCGGCCAGACCAGGAGTCTTACCGAAGATGTCTTTGTGGAGGTAATGAGCGATTGTGTAATAAGCCATGTAGATCGTACTGTCACTCAAACTCTCGACAAGGAATTGAGGATCCCACGGAAGCTTTGAACCAAGACCGTATGTTCTAGCACAAGCCCATTGGTTCAGCCAGTTGAGAACACCCTCGAAGCCGTTCTTCGTCTCTTGAGAGTATGTCTCCAAGCCTTTTCCGTCCGCATTTTCAACGTGTTTTAACGCGACTTCTTTCCAGGATTCCTCTCCGTAGTCAAGATACCACTGGTCCATCAAGGCCACGCAGCAGTCATCCCCAGACCGACTGGTAACTTTTCGCTCTGGCTCAGAGTATGCAAATCCCTCTCCGGCATCAATCAGCTGTTGTCTGACCTTTGGCTTTGCAACCTCAACCTTCTCGCCCTTGAAGTCACCAATTTCCATTATTCCTTGGTAGAAGCCTTCCTTGTACGCAAGCTCCTTTGCTTCCTCGAGTTGCTTGGTGTCCTTTGGCGAGGCAATCTTGAGCTTCTTGACCAAGAAGGGTGCGGCAAGGTTACCATATGAAGGTGTTGAGATAATAGGGATAATCTCCAACTCCGCCCATTCCTTCTTGATTCCGTAGTAGTCGGCCTTCTTTGCGAGATCTGTAACAGTCGCGAAGTCATCTGGACTGTCTGATGGTACAGATGTGACAACTCCCGTACCCTTCGTTGGAAGAACTGACTCCATAGGCAGGATCCTGACACCCTCCTTGTGAACTGAGAGGGGAGCGTGGACAAGAGTACCAACACAAGCCGAGCCAAGAATCTCTGCCACTTTTTCGTAGACGCCATTCTCAGGGAAGATACCCTGATATGCCATATTCCGCGCAGCTCGGTCAGTGATGACATAGTATTCCTTTTCGGAGACCTTGAACACGCCGTATTTGATCTTCGGCCCGACGAAACAGCAGGTTTGTCCATACATGGTCTCCGGTCTGAGAGTTGCAGGCACGAAGAAGACATCGGCACCCTCAGGCACTTTGCCCTTGATCTCCTTTTCAGCGGTAGGGGCCCACTCCTTAACCTTCAACTTCAAGGCAGTGTATTCTTGGGGTCCAACAGCCTCTCCCTCACTTCGATCGTGGTCCATACATGGCTGACCGTCCTTAGGCGAATAGATCGTGTATCTCTTGCCGAACTTGATCTTTTTCAATTCTCTGAGACGATTCATTTGCCAGCGGACAAACGCATCATAATAGGGGTTCGCATCCGTGGTCACGAAAGACCGTCTCCAGTCGATCCTCGCCCCGAAGTTCGTAAGGTCTCTTTGGCACAGCGGAGGGAAGAATTCCAACCAATGGTTTGGGTCCGCAAACAAATGGATCTCCTCAAGCGGTATGCCCAAAGCCCGCATGATCTGGAACTGGTACTTCATCTTCACGACCTTTGCGGCAGCCTTGCCCTTCTTCGCCGTAAACTTCGTCACATCCTCACGATGCGCGCTCTGGGTAGGCGTTTTCACCTCAGGCTCCTCTTCATCCTCCTTGTAGCGCTCGAAATTCTTCCCGAAAAGCTTCACCTCATTAATGAGCTTGTCCGCACAGGCCTTGATCGGCATACCCGTACAATGGAATCCCATCGGAAAGAGACTCCTCTTGCCTTGCATGCGCGCAAATCCGGCGGTGAACTCGATTTTCGATACGGTGAAGGAATGTCCGGCGTGAAGAGTGCCGTTCATGTATGGGTACGCCATGGTACCAAAGAATTTGGGGTGTTGGGCCCGCAACTCAGCGGGAGAGACGCTGTGGAGGGGGATTTCGGAGATCGATGGAGCATCTTGTTGGAATACGCCATCTTTTTGCCATTGTGCTTGGTATTTCTTCTCGATGGCTATGAGAGTGTCTCTCTTTTCTGTCTATGTTGCCCTTTTGTCAGTAGATATCCCGGAAGTGAGGGGAGCATGAGGGGTACTTGCGCCTTTCAATTCCTTGGTTTTGGAGACGGTGACCTGCTCCAAAGCCTTGGTGGTTGCTTCAACAGCTGCCATGATTGCGGTGCTGCACTCGAGAAAGGCTTCGGTGAGTGGTCTCTATCTCTAACTTCTATGGTGTTGACAACTCCGTCACCGACTCGCACTGGAAGCCGATTTTGTGACTCGGCCTCGAAATTTGGAGTTGGTGGGGCTGGATTGGTGCCTTAGGCATACTTGATGATCGACAACCTCCCGTCCCTTCAACAGCCGGAAAGACCCAGGAACGTCTTTTTATCGTCCAGGAACATATACGAGATGTTGCCAACGATTATCAGACGGACTGCTCAGCAGAACGTTCCTTACGTCTACACGAATCCGTACAAGGCGAAACGATTATGGCCGCCCGACTTCTCGAAGCTCTCGCCCAAGCACCAGTTCAGACTCGAAAGAAGGTATAAGAGAAGAGCGAAGCTAAAGTGGGAGAGACCGAGATGGACGAAAGCCGTGAAGATGGTGCAGATGGGCAGTGTAGTCTGTACGTATTTCTTGGATCATGCGTTATGATTGAGCTGACGGATTGGCAGTTGTGGGTGTTTATGGTGTGCTGTTCTTGGATTGGAATCAGGAGACCTGGAATAAGGAGTCCCGGCCGTTTCAAGGAGTATGCTTCGGTCTATGTAAGAGGATTATGGTCGGTGCTGACGATATACAGATTCGGGACTGGTTCTGGGGAATGATGGGGTCAATATTGCCCTCCAGGGACCAAGTCCGAAGGCAAGAACCGAACAATGCTTCTGCACCAGCTACAAGTGTCGATAAATGAGCAATCCCTGGTTTGGGTCTCGCAAGGGCGCAGCTTTCGTAGACCATGGAATATGATAAGAGAGGAGAACTGTACAGGGAAAGCGAATCTAAGAACCGCGTAGCCAAAGCAGCTGCGGAAGGGAACGGCGTCAGGTGCATGAAGGGTTGTATCATAGCATTGGCGTTTGTTCGCATCCGGGAGAATCTAATTGCTCCTCGAATGGTTGCTCTCCATTTGTATAAATAGCGCACATGAATCCCCATCCTCCAGTATCTGAGCCGAGAGCTCAGTTGCAGGTGCCCTGCACAACATAGGTTCGTATGAGAGCAGCGACGGTTGCCATCGCAAGCTTGCAAAGCCACCACGGCTCAGCGCTCTATTTGCCCACCTCAAAGCGATTCCTCGGTGATTCTTGGGAAGCATGAGCGATATACCACCAGCTTTCTTCCGGGGCTGTACATCCCTCGCATTCCAACCCGAGTCAGGGCAAATCCAGAATCCGTAAAGCGTGTCCGCACTGAATGCCATCCTCTTCATCGTCCTGCCCAAGCAAAGTTACTGCCCATCGCCAGATTGCCTAACCCGCTCCTCGACTCATTAACCGGTCTCTTGGCCACCCTGCCCTGGGCCCTCACACCCTCAACCACACGGTCCAGCTATAATCGTCAGCTTCATGTCTTCACTTATTCACCTCCTTCTTCCTCTCCTTTTGCTCTCGCAGTCTCTAGGGCGCAAGCGGGAAAGAACATACATGCGTCTCAATGACCACCCCACCCACAATCATCTCACTCAAGGTCGCGTGCAGCGTCTCAAAGTTAAAGATCAAATCCAACTCGCACACGTTCTCAAACAACCTATCCAGCGCTTCCACATACACCTGGATCAGATCTATCAACGCCAGCGGACTCTCCGTGCTCGTGCTAATAATGATAAAGTATAACGTCGCATAGTGGCGGTAGGTGACAAGGGAAGGCACGTCGTTGTGAGGCGTAGAGGGGGAGTGCGGTGTGTGGGATGTCGATTGCGAGCTCAGGAGAGGAGGGAGCGGTAGGAAGTTGCAGGATCCGGGTGCGCGGGTCGAGACCAGGTGGAAGATCTCAGAGATTAGACGTTGTTGAACGGATGTCTCCTAAATATAGCCTTTAGTGGGCGTAGAGGAAGGGGAGAAGGGATGGGAGCGGACAAGTTGGGTGTAGAACTTGGTGAGGCGGGGTTGGCCTGCATTGTTGAAGACGAGGACTGCGTTGATCATGTTGCTTTTGTCTGAGCTCGATACGAGGGCACAGTTAAAACCAGACTGCCCAGTAGTATAGGCCGTGGATCGGATCGGGCGGCGGATGTTAAGGCAAGGGAGGTGAGGAGAGATGAGGCTCGAAGAGAGAAGGCTGACGATGATTGAAGGTGAACTGTGATGTGATTCGTAGCGCGTTGACAAGCGAGACTGTGGGGTAGCTAAGGGAGCTCTCTGAATCAGCTCAAGGAAAAGATGATAACAGTACAGTAATCCAACAAAGAGTCAGCGACTATAACCTTCGCTCAAGTCCACATTCCTGTTCACTCGATCCAAATTCATCCATCAGAACTCACAATGGCGCGAACAGCCATCTCCAGCCTTGCACGAGCAACGGCGCGATCAATGAGACCACACTCCTCACTCACAGCTCCTCGTTCTCTTCCCATCCGTCAACCTGCCTTACAAATCTCTCGTGTTCTTTCAATATCCCCTGCTCGGACATTCTCTTCGACAAGAGCCACGTACAAGGGTCTCTCCCCAGAATCCGAAGATCCGCAGCCCATTCCCAAGCAGCCATTATCAAACACTGCTACGAAGCCCACGGATATTACAGCCCAGGAATATGAGGAGCTATCTAATTCATATATGGACTTCCTTGTGGAGAAACTAGAGGAGTTGCAAGAGGAGAAGGAGGAAGTCGATGTGGAATACAGTGTTCGTTGCTCACAAGATCCCCCCTCCAACATATGTAACTGTAGATGCTGACAACTTACAACCCAAAGTCCGGCGTTCTCACCCTCAAGTTCCCCCCGGCCGGAACCTATGTGATTAATAAACAGCCTCCGAATAAGCAGATTTGGCTCTCGTCGCCGATTTCCGGGCCCAAGAGGTATGATTACGTGGTGGTGAGTGAAGGGCAGGATGCGAAGGAGGATACAGGCGCAGGTATATGGGTGTACTTGAGAGATGGGTCAACGCTGGCAGGTCTGTTGGAGACTGAGCTGGGCATTGATTTGAGCAAGTTGGAAGAATAGGTGTCGCTTCTGCCACATCGAACGTGTACTTTTAAGGTTGGAGTGTAGAGATATAGGGAGATAGCATGGTATGATGTCGGCAGGCTGTCTTTCAGAATTATGGTTCAATATGAAGAGCAGCGTGGCAGGAGTTTGGTATGTTTCACGAGTCGAAGAGTCCAAAAGCATATGGTTGTATAAGACTATTTCAGTCCACTGTGGTCTTACATCGCCAACCAGAAGTTGCTTGGAGGAGCTCCTCGGTTTTCAAAATGGAGATATTCCACAGGAGTGAGTTGAGGTCCTCCGAGTTGTCCGGAGGACTCCTAGGACGAGCTTTGTAACAGTGCAACTCAACTGATAGAATGACTCTGCATATAGCTTCTCGGCGATTAGCCCCAAGACCTCCCAAGGCTCAATCCAATCTTGCTAAACAACGCCTTTGACACACAAGGCAATGCAATTCGGTATACTCCTCGTAAACCAACCACTGCAGGGGTCGCATCAATCTCTCCTCTTAAGCATCGCTCAACGCCACGATACGTGAATGAATAGGCGCACACACCTCGCACACATCATATTGTACCCCTCATGTCTGGGTATCCTCAGTGCGCTCCCTCCTCCGTCCCGCCCTTGCGGCTCCATAATTGCATCTCCCTCTATTCCAGCAAATTGCCAACACCTCTCCCTCTTATTTCCATCACGCCGCAACCGGGATCTGCACCCCCTCCGCCTCGTCCACCTTTGGGAGACTATCAACCTCAAACACGACGCGGATCATCAAACTACAACTCGGGCATACCGCAATATCCTCGCCGTCTCGCAGGTCTGCAATAGCGATCTCGAAACGGTCGCCGCACGGACAGGGGTAGTGGTATATTTGCAGGGTGCTGTCGTAGGTCATGTCTTCGATTTCGATCTCGTCGTAGATGTTCTCCGCCATTTTGGATGTGGGGTGTGACTGGTTGGTGTGGGTATGGATCCAAGCTTCTCAGATAATATGATGTATAGGTTCTGGGAACTTGCTTATCTATGCGAGAACCTTGGTTGTGCGTTCTGCGGACTGTGGCGTCGTGGGTTGAAGAGTTCGAGGAGGGGCAAAATAAAATATATTTATTGATGCCTTGCGCCGGAGAGAGTTGCCTGGCTCAAGGCCGTAGCCTTAAACGGGACTAGCGTGTTTATGTGGTATTTCCACGCAGAAGGGATACTCCGTACAGATACAGTTCTCTTCATCACTTCACCACAATGCGATGATAAGCTTCTTTGGTTTTCCACGCTTCAAGGAACTTTTGACGAAGAGATTCTTGAGTTAACCCAATTACTGCTTGAATGCTTATGGTGTATGCCCTTTTCAAACCTGCCTAGTGGTCCTGGCTGAAAGGCCAGATAGAGCGGTTCTCTGCTGCTCTGTGAATCTTCCAAAATTCGGTACGACGGTACACAGTTTCTCCAATTCCATTTCTCTCGGTTGAAGATTGTAACTATCATTACAAAAAGAGGGGAGTTCCCTTTTTGTCCACGAGAAGACCAGGAGGAAATGCGCAGGTTTTCAAACAGTGCCTCTCTCTGCAGCCACTCTCTGCATCCTGTATACCTTTTCGGTTTATTGGCTCCTCGGATCCTCACACGGCAGAGGTAAACCTCCATCAGGATTGATCACGAACACGAACATTGCTGGGTTTTCTTGAAGTTACGGATCAGTCGAAGAGGTGGGCATGATCACACCCAAATTTAGTATATGAGGGCAGGGGGATGTTCGGCTCTCGCCACGACGACCAATACGATGCCAATCCTGCGGCTGTGGCTGAGGATCTTGAAGCTGAATGCAATACTATTGCTTCGCCTTTACTTTGCCTCAAACCTGAGCTTTATGTTCCTTCATGATGTCAATCTGATCGCGTGTTCTCAAAAATCACTGGATCCCTTCTAGTTGAAGGATCCCGGCCAGCCACATGTAGCCGTTTCATTTTAAGCTTTTGGATCGACTCCTTTAAAACTAGCTCCCCATATGCCAATAACCTTCATCCTCCCGTCCAGTTCCTAATCCGAGATTGGTAATGGCTCACGAGATACCGCTCCCTCGCACGGGCGGAGTCTGATACTGGACGTCTCCCAATCCCTTTGTCTGTCCGCTTTCCTCGTAACGAATCCAAGTATTAATCAATACGAACGGCTCGGTTGAGATGCCGTGATCTCTCAGAAGTGGCTAAGAGATCCTGCTTGCCGCAGCTTCAATCCATTTTATTGATATCACGAATCCAAAGGGCTTGAGAGGCGCCGAGAAATGCAGCCAAGAAATGTATTTAGAGACCAGAACATCCCCGTTTTCATTCTTGTCATTGTCATCACAGCTTAGAACATTTTCACATCTCCCACATTTTAAATCAATCATCATCAAACCCCAGAATACCAATCCGCAAAAATGGTTGCATTAACTCGCGTCTTCGTCATTATGGTCGCCTCGGCAGCAATCGGCTGTGAGGCCTCTAAGGTTGGCAAAGCCATCAAGGGCTTTTTCACCAATTTGCTCAAAGTTCGCGGCGAGACTCCCTTCTGGGGACGAGGTATGTCTTCACCGCATAGTCTTATTCTCTAGTCCCATGTACTGATATAACGCAGATGAAACCCTCGCTCAACTGGCCCAGGAATACCCTGATTGCGTGAACGAACTCAAGGCTGGGACGCAACCAATTGTAGTCGTCCACCCCAACAATAGTATGTCCGTCACCGGAATGCCGGCCCCTTGCATGTCCGAGGTCGAGAAACACAACGCCCTGCCGAACATTCAAGAGCTTAATGCCAAGGAGGGCAGCGCCATCATTCTGGGAGCCAATTCCCTGCTTCTTGAGAATATTGATGAGGAAGTAATTCAATTCTTCAAACAGCATCAGAAACCCACCTAAGCAGCTCATCTAAAACGTGGAGTGGGTATGTTTAGGCATTTGCTGTCTTTAGGGCGCTGGGGGTATCACGCAGTGACGCAGAGGAGAGGGAGGCTTTTCTTTGTGTTGTTGTCATTCCTCATTTCACTATCCTGTATTGTTCTTATCATCATTATCTGATTCGAAAAGCTCGGGATTTGGTTTCAAAAGGGCACAAAGGGTTCGGGCAAGGAGTTAGGCGTTATGACTGCAGGAAAAGACAGGAAAGGCTTTTGATTCTTTTTTTTTCCTGGTTCTACGTTGATTATAGATTTGGGTAGAGCTCATTTGGGTTTTCAATTCACAGAGATTTTCTTTCTTGACAAATCTTTTGCTACAATATCCTAAAAGCGTGCTTAAAGATGGCTTGCAAACTACGAAGCTTCCAGGTAATTACAATATATAAGACCTCTCCACAAAAGGTAAGGGAGACAAACTATAAAAAGGGCAAACATCCATACAAGAAGCATCCCATCCATTCAAAAACAATCTCCAACATATCACACTCTATGTACTTAGCTAAACCCTAGCAAGATCAATCCCTAATAAACAACTAAGTTCTAACATACATACCTATATAGATACAGTCCCATCCATACAAAGTAAAGTCAAAGTAATTTTTCTGTTCCGAAATAAATGAATAATATATTAAGTATACATTAAAATCTACCTAATCCTCCTCCATCTCTGCGGCGTGAAGCCTGACTTTGACACCGGTACCGCTGCGGTTCTCGATCGCCGTGTGCAGTTTGATCTCTTTCACGGGATCCATGTTTTCTACTTTGTCGAACCTTTGTAAGAGGCGCGCTACTACGTATGCGGATTCTGTGAAGGCGAATCGCTCTGTTGCAGGGCTTCGTTAGCAATCGGTCGGTTTTTCAACTAGGGGGTTGCGATCTTGAGGAAGAATAGGAGAGGGAGTGGAATAATGATGATATGGGATGAAGGGGAGACTTACGGCCCAAGCATTTCCTTGGCCCGCCTCCGAACGGGATCCATTCCCAGCCAATCCTGTGCGTCTCCCACCGCTCCGGGCGGAACTCCTCGACATCCTCGCCCCAGATATCAGGACGGTGCTGGATGGCATAGGCCGGGATCAGGATCTGGATGCCCTTGCGCACGTATATCGGGTACGAGCCGTCCTTGCCGCCGCCGCGGGGGAGCGTGGTGTTGCGGAGCGCGACCCGCTCGTTCATCGGGATGACGGCCACGATGCGGAGCACCTCGTGCAGCACGTGGAACATGTAGTCGCACTTCACCAGTCTGTTATAATCCAGCGTGTGGCTCGTGCTATTGATGTCGCCGAACTCTTCGATGACGAGGCTGCGGAGCTTGTCGAAGACCCGCGGGTGCCGCGCGAGCATGTAGAAAGTCCAGCCAAGCAGCGACGCGGTGGGATCTCTGCCCGCGGCGAGGGTGTGTAGGGTCTCGTTGCGCAACTCGCTCAGATCCTTCGTCTCCTTGGCCAGCTCGTCTAGGAGGACGAACTTCCGATTGCCTTTCTCTTCTGATGATAGCGGGTTTCTTTTGGAGTTTAGTTGGTACTGGATCATGCCGTCAACCACTTCGTGGATTTCCTTGCAGTGCTGATTCATTTGCCTCCTGTGAGGAAACAGCCAGTAGAATTTCCCCAAGGCTCCGCGTTTGTCCACGAAATGCTTTGCAGCGTCTAGGTTTCGCGAGAAGGCCGCACCATCAATACCTGTAGTTGTCTTCCTCCCATTTGCAATTGATGCCTGGGAGCCGACAGACTGTCCGTAGAGAAATTCTGTGGCCGTGTCCAGTGTGAAGTAGAAGAAGAGCGGCTGGAGGTCGACCCTATGCGTCCAGTTATTCTCTCCAATCTTGTTACCAAGCACTGCGAGCAAGGTCCGAACGTGTCTCTCGATAAACTCGAGGTTCGTGACTTCGTCACGCTGAAACTGTGGCCGTACCAATGCCCTGGAATGTTTCCACTGATTTCCCCGGCTGGTGAACACGCCCTCACCTAGGAGCGGCATGAAAGCGTTCGACCGCGTGGAGCTGATATCATAATCCTGGGACTGGGTTGACAGCATTGCCTTTACATTCTCGGGATCCCGAGTCACCAGGAGCTCGTAATCAAGGATCGGAACACGCATTGTATGGACATCTTTCCCCAACTCATCCCCCAACTCGTTCATGGCTGAGATGACATATTGCGGTCCGCGATCTTCTCTTGTCGCCCGAATAGATTCGGTGAGGCGTGAGGTTCCCAGTAGGTTGTTGCTCCGCAGCGTTGGAGCGGGTTGGCATCCTCGTTGCGCTGCTTCGATCCTATATTTCATCTGGTTCATCCAGACACTGAGGATCTTATAGGCAATGATGCCGAGGAGCCCAAAGATGGCCCATTCAAGCCAGATGGTCATGTTGTAGAATAACAGACAGGAATCCGATTCCGATTTATAGGGCAAAGACCCTGATATTGCTGGGGGAGTTGAACGAAAGGATAGCGATGAAAGTTTAAGCTGTGAGGAAATCCTACGTCACGCTGGCAGCGACAAATGTCTTGGTCTTGAAGGATGGTGTACCCAGGCGTTGTGGAGAAGTTTTCGACTTGAAGGGATCATGCATGTATCTGCAACTCGAATATTCACCCCTCACTGCCCTCGTCGACGAGCCCTAGATCAGAGGTCTCACCGCACGTGGATGAATCATGAACGGTTGAGCTGTTGAGCAGGACCTTGTGATGACCCATTGTCACTTTGCGCATCATAGACCAGCAGAAAGAGTAGGCCGTCCCATGCGATGCGGTCAGGATATATTGACGTTGAATTGCAAGTGTAAACCTCTCGCCAGAACGCGTTGAAGTCCGTCTGTCGCTAATCCTAAGCGAGCCACCCCTATTATCGTCAACGTCAACCCCCCTTTTCCACTTTAGCGAGCCATCCGATTCGCTCTCCCACGGCCTCCCGCTGCTAATAGACCCCGTTTCCGCACCAGCGTCGGTTTAGACTATGGATGATCGACGTCAGCTCAAGTGGCCATCAAGAAGAGAAATTCATGTCGGCATACTTGTGACACTGGGAGAGAGCATGCACGTGATGATCCGGGTGAACAACTTCAGCCACTTGGGCGGATGATGGAAGAGTGGGCCCGAACCTCTTGTTTTGTAGTAAAGCAACTGGGCAGGCGGTGTAGAAACACGTCAGGTAGAGAGCAACATGATGGAAGGTGGGAGCCTATCGTGGGTTTGCGTGAAAGGAATCCGTATTGTATCTATTAAAGCGGATGGTTCTGTTTTCCAAAAAAAAGGAGAAAAGGTGTAACCTAGAATAACTACGTTGGCTAATTCCTATCATTTCAGATGAAGAGGTGGAAGTTATTCTGTTTTAGTGAGCATTTCATCGAATATCAAATGCGCAGCATCAGATTAAAATGGTATTTATAGGTCCATAGGTCCGGAATTAACTAATTGTCTTTGCCCAAACGCCTTCATGTAAACACTCGCAGAATCATTTACTCAGCCGTTCCTCAGTCAACATTAAAAAGAATTAAGCTTTATCCCCCGGCCCGGTCTCTTCTTGTCCATGATACAGCCCCCCTACAGCAACGTGGACTTCAAAACAATTCCATCCCTTGGTCTCAAGACTAATCTCCACATTTTCAAATTTTCCGGATCCTCCATCGATGTGTCCCTCTCAAAAGTATACATACTCAGCAAACAACACAGCAGAACCTTCATTTCCGTTTCAGCGAACTTCCTCCCCACACATCCCCTCTGCCCCTGGAGGAATGTCATAAACGCATTACGGGTGTAGGTATCTGGCAAGTTGTCCCATCTGTCAGGATCAAATTTGTCAGCTGTCGGGCCCCAGTACATGGGGAGCCGGTTGATGGCATTGGCGAGGACATAGATGACGGTACCGGCGGGGACCAAATAGGGGCCCAGTGTGTCATCTTCTAGAGATTGCCGGACGGTCATGGGAATAGGAGGGATGTAGCGAAGAGATTCGCGGCAGACATTGTCGAGGTAGGGGAGTTTATCGGCATCGACCTTGCCAAGCTCAATTGGGTCGTAACGCGTATCCTCGTGGAAGAGGAATGGCATGTATTCCCGGACCTCTTCTCGCAATCGTGTTTGAACTTTGGGGTATTTGGACAGAAGGTGCAATGTCCACGCTACCCCGGTGGCAGTGGTATCGTGCCCGGCCCCCAAGAACGTCATTACCTGATCTCTCATAGTCTCCAGGGACAAGCCTTCCTCGCCCGCTGCCTTCTTCTTCAAATTATCTTTTGAGATCAGGGCGATGATATCATTGTGTTTGCTATGCGCTTGTGCCTGTCCTTCTTTCTCCTTGATAATCTCGGTGGCTCTGTTGAGGATGATGTTGCGTGCGGCTTCCATATCGCGGTTCATTTTCGCAGGTATATACTTGGTGCTGGGTATGAATGCTTGCAATCCATGTAAAACCCTCGAACCGAGATCGAATGCAAAGACAAGGCGGTAGGCTTCTCGGAGTGGCGTCTCGGGGTTCTCAAGTGAGTTAATATCAGTCCCAAATCCGGCTTCCCCAATGATGTCTAATGTGGTGCGGTTGAGCCATTCAAGGACCTCGATGGATTTCGTAGTCATGCCGGCCTTGAGCATTTCATCCTTCCATAACTTGGAGAGAAGAAGTGCTTTCTGCCAGAATATAGGGGCGAGGGCTCGGATGGAAGAGATTGAAAAACCAGGAGCGAGAGCTTTGCGTTGATGCACATGTTCGTCCCCCTCAGCCAGGAGGACACCTTCCCCTAAGATTCGCACCATCCAAAGCTTCGCACGAATTGGCTTGGGGTAATTGTATGGGTTTTTGATGGTCATTTGAGTAACTGCTTTGTCGTCGGCGATGGCAATACGCTCGGCACCAAAGGGAAAGAAGTATCGGATGATGGGCCCATGTTCTTGGAACCACCTTCGCTGGGGAACGCCGCATTCTTCAGTAATGATAGTGAAGAATTGCCCCCAAAGCGGGAATCCTGGGACAGTCGGTACATGTCGTAGCTCCGAGATGTAGAATGGGTAAATGAATGAGACGTATAAGACAAAGTAGAGTGGAATGATGGTGAGGCAGAGCCAGGGAAGGACGTCTAGGATCGCGAATGAGGATGTTTTGGAGATTGCCATGGCGGCAACAACACATCCACCCAAAAGATGGGAAAGTCCAAGTTTCACTGCCATTCTGGCCACCGATTCAAGGGTAGCGGAATAAAGGTACAGGTTCTGTAGGGCGTGATGAAGAATCAGTAAGATACTTTGAGGTGAAGGTTGTTTTGAAGAAAAAATGATATACAATCACACGACGAGATGAGGTGCAGTTCTGCGTGCCCCATTCTTCTCTTGAAGGAGGAGGAAGGTGCCTTGCACTAAGGTCGACAACATCATAGAGTTTTGGTAGTAGCTATCGTGAGGCTCAACATCCAGGGTAATGGCTTTGATAGTGTTTGGACCGGCCAAGCCCCACATCTTTATCTCCTTGTCATCATGGTCCTTGGGAGCTAATAAATGATATATCTCCCTCTCAAAGGACTTGGAACTGAAAATGCCATACTGAAAATACCGTACCTGAGGGGCGGAGTTGTGTGATCAGCGTATAGAATGGACGCTCTCAGTTCGTCGAGGTCGATGAAGCTCACATTATATACTTCATCATGAATATATGAATAAGGGGGCATTTGTTGTTATATCATATAAGGCGTCTGGTGGCGACGTTGGAAGTTAAAGAGGTATGGAGGAGAGGAGAGATGGATATTTTCATATATTTTGAACCCTGGTTCAGGGTACCGACTTAAGCCGCATACATATAAGTCGAAGGGTTCAATATAAGCAACTTGTACGGACGTGGTATAGGTCGACAATATCAAAACAACCCTGAAGGGTATAATAGTGTTTACCTACTGATTCTATCCTCCGAAGAGCTAGTAGTATCAGTGAGTAGGAGCCCGGGAATTTCTTGTCATTGGAGCAGAAGAGGCGAGGAACCGTCATGGAACATGACCTCAACACTTGGCCAGATTGTACATGACTAATCCGTACCTTAGGAATCATGAGGTAAGGTAAAGGAAGTTATTGAGAGCTTTATGAAATATACATGGGTTTAGTTTCATGTACCAAATGAGTTGTTGAGCGCCATAAAGCGTACCGGCCGACCAAGCCGGACCACTGGCTCTAGGAAAAGAAATTCCGACCCCCCCTTGGGATTTCAAGCTTTTTCAAACTTTGTGAACACAGTCAATTCTAGCTTTCGTTTTCCTCCTGAGTTACAAGTTTTGAGTTTCCTCGTTCTGTGCCTCATGGCAGTAACTCTACCACCCTCTACCATGTCCTTGAGCAGCTTTCCGACCTGCAAGCCCATGGTCGGTGGTGGAGCGTTTAGCTTGTCACCATGGGTAAACTTCAACAGGCTATGGATATCAGTGAAGGGATATCCAGCCGATGAATTTGATTTCATCCCCGGTACAACTCCCTTTTCAACGATGTGTGAAACGCTTGGGATGATTGCTCTTTACCTGGCTGTGATTCTTGGAGGGAGGGAACTCATGAAGAATCGGAAACCAGTTAAGCTCAATGGACTATTCATGGCCCACAACTTCATCTTGACGATGGTCAGTGGAGCTTTGCTGGTGCTCTTCGCTGAGCAACTACTCCCAACTTTGTGGAGCCATGGAGTGTATGAGAATATCTGCGGAGGTAGCGGTTGGACACCGCCCTTGGTGGTTTTATATTATGTGAGCGGAAAGACACATGTTCTGTTCGTATGTTCACTGACATATTCTAGTTGAACTATCTGGTCAAATACGTCGAACTGCTTGACACCGTATTTTTGGTGGTAAAAAAGAAGCCTCTAAGTACGTTTCTAAGATAACTCCGCCGTTCTATTGCAATATGTTAACTGATGAGCTGGCAGCTTTCCTTCACTGCTATCACCATCCTGCAACTGCACTCCTTTGCTACACCCAACTTATTGGACACACATCAGTCTCATGGGTTCCGATCACTTTAAACTTATTTGTTCACGTTGTGATGTACTGGTACTATTTCCAGAGTGCTCGCGGAGTCCGTATCTGGTGGAAGGAATGGATTACACGCTTGCAAATCGCTCAATTTGTGCTTGATTTAGGTATGCCGCTACCCCTCGCACTTGAACATCCGCGACTCTGACTTGAGACTATAGGATTCGTGTACTTCGCCTCGTGGGATTATTTCACAAGCACATATGCACCGCATCTACCACATGTCGGCACCTGCGCGGGCGAGCCATTTGCCGCCATCGCCGGAGACGTAATCCTGAGCTCGTATCTTGTGCTCTTTATCTCGTTCTATATCGCGACATACAAGAATATGGGGAAGAAAGACAAGAGTAGTGTTGCAAGGAAAGCGGAGCTGAATATGGAGAAGGCCCAGGTGCCGTCTATGAAGGAGACAGCACAGAGGGCGACTGAGGGGGTCAAGTCTGCAAATAATACTTTGCACACACTCAACCCGACTCAGAGGGCAAGTGAGGGGCTCAAGTCTGCGAATAGCACAGACGGTGACAGCACACACTCTCAACCCGAACGGCCCATCCCTCTAACGACAAAATGATAGGGTATAAATGATGGAAATATGATTGGGTCTGTGATGGGCATAGAGTGCTGGTGAAAGGTGAAATAGAGAAGGCAAGTGAGAGCAATTTGTGAACCATGAATCACATGGTCCAGGTCCCGGTGTCATTGGGTGTGTGTATTAGCGTCGACAATGTTACTTGAGCACAAATTTGATACCAAACAAGAAGAGAATTTGAAGTCTGAGGGAGATTTTCATAAATGCAACCGAACTGATTGAACACGCCAAATATCGATACTTGATAGGAATATTTAGTAGTTATTAACAAGAGAAACAGTAAGAGGGTAACGTTAATCCCATGCAATGGCATGTTGGTTTGCATAGTTTCACTTAAATCAATGAGTATCCCTCCGATTTCGGTGGCACCAATTAGAAAACCAAGATTAATAGCATCAAAAAAAGAATCAATAGGCTCACTCAGCACTGAGAATACACTTTGGGTCAATAGTCCATGTGATGGTGCAAGAACAAGAGATGCCGTAATGCAGTACATGCAGGACCTCACTTGAGAACTAGCAGTTCAAGCTTAGAGAGCAGAAGGCGAAATGACGCCAGACGGAATCCTTCTCGGTGCTGTGCTTCCAGTCAAGATAGTGGCGGATGCCCATGTGAAAGCACTCAAGGAAGGGTTCTGAGTGGATGGAGTTCACGAGAGTGCTCTTGCCGGAGATACACACTCGAGGAATAACGTCGTGTATCTAGAGCTTCAGGATCTTCACGGTACCCCAAAGAATAACGAACCCTGGACCCCGCGGGGTTATTTGATTGAGCAAAGCTCATTGGTCCTGCTTACCGATCATGGCCATGGATCAGTATTCGTCCCGGCCAGGTGGAGCTGGGAAGACCTATCAGAAACAAGACCCATAGGGAGTGTGCTGGTGGAGTTACAAGCTCGACGACATCTCATGTTCATGCTTTGCCTTCTCACCACTTTCAACATGGTTAGAGCAACTGCTTTGCTATCTCAATCGACTTATCTCATAGGCCAGACATATCCACTCCTCAGGACGCAATATTTCTGAGAGGGGTGCCAAAATGTTGAGGCGACCCAGTATGTACTTACTCGGTGACATCTGTGCCAGAAGTCTTTGCTGCTATCAGTCAGCTGTGAAGCCCCTACATATCCCCGGGTTAGTCCTCAAGACTTACCATCTCCCGTATCCTGTGTTGTCTCTCCTTGAGCCTCTTTCGTTCGTTCCCTGCCATGGACAGCGTGATAGCAGACCTTGATAAATCTGGACTTTACCAAACTCCCGTCGCCGTTCATGCTGTAAACTCCACTGTGCAGGCTTCGACTTCCCCCTGGGCTCCAGGCTTTGATATCGGAATCTTCCTAGGTCTCCTTTCAAAACTCCTGTCCTATATTACAGTATGGAGGCTGTTCGTTCTCGTACTGGTGCTGGGGAACCTGAAGAATGTACCTCTGATATGGCATGTAAGTACCACTCATCCACAATTATCTGCAGTGTTTATAACATTGACCTAGCTCCGAATTGTCAATGCCTTCAGGTTCTGCCTCCGGACGCAGAGACCAAAGGTGCCCGTCACACCAGCACAGCTCTTCCAGCCAATCATCACCACCACGTACGCCCCGATCATGGAGATTGATTTCAACCTGCACAGTCAGTCACACTCTCCACTTCCCAAGCGGCAGGAAGCTGACTATTCCCACAGAGACCAACTCGTCCTACTTCTCGGACATCGATATCGCGCGGACCCATCTCGTGTGTACCCTCTTCTCCACCGGCATCGAGCAGATGCGCGGCGGTACAGCAGCTATCACGGGCTCGAAGCGTCCCGTCTTCGGGCTCCCCGTCGGCGGCGTCTCCTGTACCTTCAAGAAGGAGCTGAAGCCGTACGAGCCATACGAGTTGTGGACCCGCGTGCTCTCCTGGGACGAGAAGTGGATTTACATCGTCACGCATTTCGTGCGGAAGGGCGCCATTGCTCCACGCAAGTATACGTTGTATCCCCAGCAGAACGATGGCGAGAGAAAGACCGGGGAAAAGACAGCGGCCGTTGAGGGGAATGAGGATGTCGTCGCCACGGCGCTGAGTAAATGCGTGTTCAAGCAAGGCCGCCGCACCATCGTTCCCGAGCTCATGCTGCAGCTCTCTGGCCTGCTACCCCCCGAACCACCGGATAGGACTGAAGCTGTCGACCATTGCGAGAGCGTTGCGAAACCCGTCAGTGAACCATCAGTGCGCTATAGGAGCCGCCCCTCGCTTCCATCGTCGCCTTCGTCGGACTCGGGCATCGATATGGAGATGGACGAGAAGGAGGAGAAGGAGAAGGAGGAGAGCGAGTGGGAGCGCATCGAGCGCGAGCGCAAACGCGGGCTGAAGGTCGCGGCGACTCTGGGGGCACAATCGCAGAATGCGCTGGAGAGGGAGTTCACGGCGGATGGTGAAGCATTGGGGAGACATGCTGATGGGACGGGTTTCGTGGGTGTTGTGTCGACGTTGGCACAATTAGCGAGACTTAAAAGAGATCAGATTTTGTGATTTCCTTTTTCTACTTTCATTTCTGGATTTTAAAATATTTATTATCTAGCTTCTTATTTCTAGTTTAATTCCCTATTAGACCGTATTTAAAGCAAATAGAGATCGAGAGAGATTCTGGTGAGCACAATGGCAACTGAATTAGAATCTGCCTCGGGCTATATAGCAACTCGGAATAGCATCAACTATGAAATACCCACGCCTTACTTTTTGCCTACAGTCCTATAATGCCAACTCCCCGTACATGCCCGAAAGCAAAAGTCCCGCGTAGGTCCGAGACGTCACTACTATACAAATAGAGACAATGAACTCTGGATCCCCTAAGATCCCCCAAGATCCCCTAGTCGAGAGACTATCACAAGGGCCCGCGTTTCTCAAAAGGCCGTCGATATGTCATGACCCCGAGTCGAATCCCACAAGTCTGATCCAACAAAATGGTTTGCAGTATCAGATTTGCACATGCACTCCAGCGTCCCCTTTCCTCCGCGTGTCATGTATCCTAGAAACTTCTCCCGTACCAACAACTTTACTCCAGAGAGCTCGCTGCTCACGTACTATTCGCATCTTGAGATACCCAGCTTCGAGGAGTTTTTCCCACTCCGGAAGCATTTCCACTTTTCTGCATTCCATGATACTTCTTGGTTTAAAAAATACCCCCTTTTAGCCCTCGCATTGCTATGTTCTACAACATTGGCATCTGAAGATCGGGCATAACCTTCCATAATGTCCAACTCCAACTCACCAACGCCTCCCTCCAATCCTTCTCCACGAAGCTCGAATCGCCAGCTTCCCTCACCAACACCCACGACTTCCACCTTGCAGGCATTTCTCCACGACGCAATAGAAGCCGCCAACCCTGGACTACAGCATTTGGCATCACATTCAACACTAGGGAGTTTACCCAGTGGTACAGCACTAGACGTGCGTTCCTCCCGTAACCCAAGACCTGGATATATTAGGCCCCTGGGACTATCAACATTTGATGATCAGCGACATGCTGGTAAACCAGGACTGCCCATCACAAGAAATACAAGGGAATGGGATCCAGGGTCCTCTCACGCGAGACCGAGTGCGAGTGCTTCTTCATATTCAGATGCGAGAGCTAGACAGAGCAGCTATTCGACGGCGAGGAGTGGGGAGAGTAGTCAGAGTTACTATTCTGGAGAGGATAAGGACGCGGAGAGTGTGGAAGAGGTCAGACCGGAGGGTGAAAAGGAGAAGGAAGCGGAGGAAGCGAACAAGGCGGAAACCGGAGGGGAAGGAGAAGGAGGAGAAGAAAATGAAAGCGAGACCGAAAATGAAGAACCCATCTACCCGGGACCCTGGGCCCTTACCTTTCTACTCATCGGATTGTGTTTGAGCATCTTCCTTATTTCTCTCGATCGTACCATTATCACCACTGTGAGTATCCATCCAATTTTCAAGCATCACCCCTTGTGGAAACAACTGCTGATTAAGAGCTCCAGGCAATACCCTTCATTACCAGGGACTTCAACTCCCCGGAGGACATAGGGTGGTACGGCTCCGCCTATCTACTCACCGCATCCGCATTCCAACCCCTCTATGGTCGCATCTTCATGCTCTTCAACATAAAATGGTCATATCTGGTCTCTCTGGGCACGTTCCTTGCTGGATCTCTACTTTGTGGAATAGCCCCAAACTCCATAACTCTCATCATTGGACGCTCAATAGCTGGACTAGGGAGCGCAGGAATCCTAACAGGGAGTTTTGTAGTAATATCCCATGCGATGCCCTTGAAGAAACGGCCAGTGTGGACCGCTGTCGTTGGGATGATGTGAGTTTAATCTGTTGCCTCAAAAACGAAAAGACAAATGAGAGCTGATCAGAACGCAGGTTCGGCCTGGGCGCAACGGTCGGGCCACTCCTCGGGGGCGTTTTCACGGATCTAGTAACCTGGCGCTGGTGTTTCTACTTTAATCTCCCTATCGGTGGTGCAACCCTTGCCTCCATGGTGTTCTTCTTTCGTCCACCAAAAAAGCACGCACTCATGGGCAAATCTTTCTTCTACCGAATCACTGAGCTCGATTTGATTGGCAACGCCATCCTTCTTGGCGCATCCATAATGCTCTTTCTCGCGCTGCAGTTCACCGAGCAGCAGGTTGCCTGGGATTCTGCTGAGATCATCGGTCTCTTAGTTGGCGCAGGAATCACTTTCATTATTTTTTGTGTTTGGCAGTGGTGGAAAGCAGATGGGGCACTCATACCCCCAAGGATTATCAAGCAGAGAAGCGTGGCTGCTTCTTGTATGACCGGGTTCTTTATTTATGCTTGCATCCTGATCCAGACCTATTTTCTGCCCTACTGGTTTCAGGCGGTAAAGGCTTATTCCGCGGTGCAGTCTGGCATAGCCATGATTCCGTATGTAGCTGCCAGTGCCGTATGCTCGTTGTTGGCCGGGGTCTTCGTGAGCAAGAATGGGTATTTCACCGCGCCCGCCATTCTAGGATGTGCCATAGGGACGGTGGGTTGCGGATTTATCTCTACCATCACCCCTTCAACTCCATCTGCAAGGTGGATAGGATACGAGATCCTCACCTCAGCTGGAATAGGATTCGCGATCCAGCAAGGATTCTCTGCTATCCAAATTGTGCTCCCGCTTGACGAAGTAGCAATCGGCACCGCAGCCGTTGTAGCTTTCCAATCCCTCGGCGGAGCCGTTTTCGTCTCTGTTGGCAACACAATCCTACAGAATAGCCTCCTATCAGCATCTCGACATAATCAGCTCCCTGGAGTCGATATTCAAGCTGTAATCAAGGCCGGGGCAACGGAGTTCCGAAAGAAGGTACCTCCGGAGGCAATCCCCGCTTTGGTTGCGATTTACGTCAAGGCACTACAGAAGGTGTTCCTTGCTGCGATACCGATGGCAGGGTTGGCATTCGTCAGTTGTTTATTTCTGGAATGGAAGTCTGTGAATGAGAAGAGAGCGGAGGATGAGGAGGCACAAAGGGGGAAGGCGAGGGTGGAGCTGGAGAAGAGAATAATGGAAACCCACAACAGGACTACAGGATCGGAAGGCAGTCCACATGTAAGTAGTGGTATATTCCGGACGAATACAGAGAGCGAGGTCGAGGTGAAGAGTTTGCCTGGGGGTAGAGACAAGCACACTCCAACTGTGCCTCAAATTCCTCAATTTGGCCCTCAAAATTGATATTTTGTTGAAGAACGAGAGACAGGCATGATACGAGGTAGAACTGACTGGGTGTCTGGATGTGCTATGTTCCAATGTGCTCCTAAAGCTCAAGGATTTCAAGTGAACCACCATAAGCAAAGACGTCTGGTTATCAGAATGATGATATCGAAATAAAATGTTGCAGGAGGCAGAGTTCACTCGAATTTTAGCCAACCCACCAAAGTCGTCGGACGCACACTGAATACTTTGAGATGTGAAAGGAGAAGTATCGTGTACTGGGTTTGAAGAATAGCACCGCTACGTATCGACAACTGGGCGTTTGAAGCCGGATGTTGGTAGATAAGAGAGATCTAGGCACTACCTCTGAGGTTACTTCACTCGCTAATCTTACCTTTGGAGATCCGCGCTAATTTATCGTCTACTTTACACGAACCCAGTTTGTTTCTTCAGCCATGGTTTCTCATGGCTTCTCTGTTCCGGCTGGGACAATTTCTCAAGGGTAAAGCGAGCACGTATACTGTCGTCAAACAGCTTCACGAATCCATTTGGCTAGCAACGTATGCGATAAATTTATTTTGTACTTTTCAATCCCGAGCTGATCTATGAGGTAACAGCAACCACCAGAGCAAACAAACCGTCGTAATCAAAAGTGTCGGCCATTTCCGCCTTGAAAACGAACGTGATGTTCTCAAATACTTCCAATCTCAAACATCTTCTCTCCGCCCGCTGATCGACGAGATAGAAGATCCATCTGATCCACCTGCTCTTGTACTGAGGCATCTTGATGATGATCTTCTAAATGCTTCATCAGCTCAGCGGCTTACTAGACCCGAGATCAAACATGTTGCAAAAAGGATCCTAGATGCTTTAAATGTTTTGCATGAGAATGGTTTTGTACATACAGGTATGTCGTTGATATAGCTGTAGGATGTTGAAAAATCTAATCCAGGTTGACTGCAGATATCAAGCCTGACAACGTCCTAGTAACATATGGACAGGGCGATACCCGTTTCGCTGACGTTCAGTTGGCCGACTGCGGGAGTACTGTTCGTGTTGATTCTGTCTTCGCGAAGGACCGTGATATCATTGGCGCCCCTATATGGCGGAGCCCTGAAGCACAGCTCCAGATCGGATGGGGTACTCCGACAGACATTTGGTCCTTTGGCACGTTGGTAAGTGCATTAGTTCAGCTTCGTTGTTCACACTCTTCTCTACTTACCAGCGCTCATTATTGGTCCATGCGCAGCTTATAACATTGATTTGGGGCGAGAACTGGTTCATCTTCAAGCCGGACGTTCCAGCCGACCACGAAGAATATGAGTTGAGGATTCTCATGAAACAGCATCAGTTTTTTGGGCCATTCCCTCTATCGTATAAGGAGATCGCAGACGATGAGACGTTAGCGATTCTGACCCACATCATGCATCGCGTGCCACCAGAGAGGATGAAGCCCTTCGGACGCATCAGTGAACGAGAGATTTCGAAGGAGGATAAGGCCTTCGTACTCAAGATCATGAAGCTGGACCCCAGAGACAGACCGACAGCGAAAGAACTCCTACAGGACGAATGGTTCACGTCAGCATAGGGACTCTTTTTTACGGTAGATATCCTGGCCAGGAGGGAGCGTTGAAAGTCCTACCTTTATTTCTGTAGATATTACCCAAAAGAGTGCGAAATTGGGAAAATGGATGAAATGAGAACCCGGCTATAATGCAATTCAACATACATACTATATAGTGTCGAAGGAGGGAAGCCCATCTGTCACGGCCTGATTTAAGGAGTCGATTTTGACGTTACTACTAATCGTCCCCCCTATCTACTAGTACCGAGCCCCTATTATTTATTACTGTAGATGATAGAGATCTATTACCGAGGATCCGTAGCCTTGCTTTACTATCTTTACCTGTATATAGCCCCCTTTTCGCTCCTTTCAGTAGTTAGTTCAGTACAGTTAAATCAACTCAATTCGTCCCAAGTCGCTCTATTTGACAGGTTGACAGTAGAATGTCTGCACCTGTAGCCATTCATAGACACATGCAACTCTGTATGGATTCGTGCAATGTAGCCATGATGAAGTGAGAGCTGGAGTTTGAGGTGGATGTGAAGGTGGACCTGGATGTGGGGTGAGTTGAAGTGAAGTTCCGGACGGAGTGGTATGCCGAGTCACGTGCCACCAGCCTCGGCTGAGCTTCCCTCGAATTCAGTTGAGTAAATTGGAATTCAACAATCAATTCAACTACTTCATGCTTCACTCTGTCAGAACAGCAACAATCACTCTTGAGTCCTGAACCTCGAGAGCCCCTCCAGCTTTCTTTTGCGGAGCGGACTTCTTAACCATCAATCCTCCGTTCTTCCTACAAGACATTCGAGATGGCCCCCACTACGTTGAAAGTCAGCAATCGCTGTAAGCATTTCCACTGTTCCCCAAACGACCCCGTCTGATAATTCTCCAGCTCCAAAGAAGCCAATCAAGAAGCTGCCCAGCAGTATCGAGATCACGGACAAGACAACCGTCCAAGATGTCAAGAATCAGCTCGCAAAACAGATGGGTGGGATGGATCCCAACCGGTTGGGAATTTTCGATACGAAGAACAAGATCTTGAAGGACAGGTTATCCCTCGTCAGCCAGAACCAAGAAGTTATGGCCGGAAAAGAGATCTTGGTCAAAGACCTAGGTAGGTACTCCATTCTTCGCGCACCCAATTGAGTGCTGATCCACGCTTTCCCCCAGGCCTCCAGATCTCTTGGCTCACTGTCTTCATCATCGAATACGCCGGACCCATCTTCATCCACCTGTCCTTCCTCCTTACACGACGCTACATCTACCACGACTATAGCCCGCTCTCTCCCTCCCAGAAGCTCTCTATGGCGATGATCGTCCTCCACTTCATCAAACGCGAATACGAAACCTTGTTTGTCCACAAGTTCTCCCTCACAACGATGCCCTTCCGCAATATCTTCAAAAACTCGGCGCACTACTGGATTTTCAGCGGTATCAACATGGCTTACTGGATCTACTCTCCTAACTCCTACGCTGCGAGAACATCTTCGACGGTCAATTATGTAGACGCCGCCGGGCTGGTCATTTACGTTTTCGGCGAGCTTTCGAACCTACACACCCATCTGACGCTCTCAAGGTTACGTTCCCGCAATGGCACCGAGCGAGGCATCCCCAAAGGCTACGGATTCAACTTGGTTACATGCCCGAATTACTTGTTTGAGTTGATCGCCTGGACGGGGATGTTGTTGGTCTCCAAGAGTCTGAGCACGGTAATTTTCATCATCCTGGGGTGGGCACAAATGCATCAGTGGGCTATCAAGAAGGAGAAGGCATATCGTGCGGAGTTCCCAGAAACGTACAAGAAGAAGAAGTATGTCCTGCTTCCAAGCCCGGGCGCGGTGATCAAGGCTTTGGTCGGATGAGAAGGCTTGGATGATGGATTTGGGTTGGTAGATTTGGGCGGCGTATTTCTATCGGCCGGGCAAGGTGACGTGACGGCGTTGGAGCGATCGATGCCTCTGGTATTGTAAGCTGGTGCGAATGGCATGGTGAAGTCATCATGGTAGGTCATGATATGTAAGTTAGGGAGGGGACGTGTGGCGCTCTGGATGCTTCTTGCTGCTATAAGTGGGCATGGTGGGGGAATGGCAGGGATGGAGCTCCTGGTCACGGGCGATGCTAGAATAGAATAATGTCTTAATTCAAAAGTTTATTGATATACGGGCAAACGATCCGTTGTTTGCTATCGCCAACATAACGCCTGGCTTCGACATCGAGAGCGGTGCTGAACAACCAAGGGACGACATGGGTAGCTGATGGACTATATGATTGGATACCTTATACAAGTAAGCAAGCATCACCTATACGAGATTCACATATTAGTATATTAACCTCTTCATCATATCGGCCAGCAGCCGTGGAATGCATCGGATGCACGTGATACCGTTCCATCCACGAAGCACCTCTCCCTCTCTTTCAACGACGACTTCTTCAACCCACCAGACATTGCGCGAGAAGGTCCTCGAGCATATGAATTTAATCCGATCAAAATAACGCCATATTACTACATAACCTTCACAATCCCATCCAGATCTTCAGCATCAATCACATGCGGTCCTTATAAAGACCAATCAACAATTAGCCGCGGCAGGCACAGAATTTAATTGTCTTTTCCCCGCAAATAGATGTGATGCCGTCCCTGGTCCCTTGCAACTCAACCATCCCATCCCCCGCTTCAGCTGGGTTCTCGCCCGACGCCCGCCCCCGGATTTCAGACTCGATCCGGATTTGGGCGCTGGACTTGTCTGGATTGCAGCCATGGACCTGACGAGCCGTGTCAGGATATCTCGGGAGGCGCGCCGAGCACATGCTTGGAGAGGGGGAGGGGGAGGGGGAGGGGAGCGTCCCGAGGCGATTTGGGAGAGGGGATTGGATTGGATTGGACTTGACTTGACTGGACTTGATTTGCCTTGCCTGGACTACGACGGTGAATGGGGAGGGATGGGGAGGAATGTCCGGTGAATGGGAACAATGAGGGAGGGATTGAGGGAGGGAGGTATTTATTTACTTAAATACCTACCCAAGCCCATCCCATATCCTCTGGCCTCTCCACCAAGAACGACAATCTTCCCCCTCCCCCGCGTCGACGATCCCATCCCATCTCGAGCTATCAAATCAATCAATTAGCAAGACTACGATCATCGCATCCCATCCCATCCCACACAATGCGACCCCACGCGCTCCTCCTCCTCCCCCTCGCCCTCCTCTCCCCCGTCCTCGCCACTACTCCCCCCACGATCCTCGACGCCATCTCCAACATCTCCAACAACACCCTCAGTCTCAACAGCTCCATCACGACCTTCCGATCCGAGTCGGGAAATCCCCTACAACTACTCCCTATCGTCATCCATTCCAGCTCCCTCCTCGCCTCTATCAAATCCGGCACCAATACCGCCAAAGCCTCCGCCAATCTGACCTTCGACGAGACCGTCGCCGTCGCCGGCGCCACGCAGTCCCTGGTCTCAAACGTGCAGTCCACGCTGTCCAACATCATCGCTGCGAAGCCGCTGTTTAATCGCGAGCTCGTTAGTCCGGTTATTTATTTGGATCTGGAACTTGATAAACAGGCTACGGATCAGTTCTCTGAGGCTGTTATTAGTAAGGTGCCGTCGGCGCTCCAGGGCCTCGCGCAGCAGATCGTGGCGCCTGTCGATACGGCATTTGATGCGGCGTTGGCGGCGTATAAGGGACAGATTTAAGGGGTGTGAGGAGAGGAGAGGATTGGATCTGATATATGATCGGGTGGGGTGAAGGAAAGCTACAGGAGATTTTAAATGAAGACAAAAAAAGAGGGGAAGGGGTAAAATAATAATCTTCTTCTTCACGTAGCTCGACGATCACGTCTCGAGTTTTCAGTTTCAGGGTCTTGTTGTACGATAAAAGAAAATTTCAAGACAACCAATTGCTGTGGCCCCGGTATTCATGCTGATCAACAGGTCTTCGATTAACCTACAGCTACCTCCTTCCCAGCTCCCAGCTCCCTTCCTCCTCCACGAAGTCGTAGAGATTCCCAAAGCCAGGATGTAGTCTAGCAACTGGTCTGTTTCCAAGTGAATCATGTCGAAATTCGTCAGAAAGGGCGGCGGATGTGATCGTTGCCTCCTCGGTCGTATCACCAGGCATTGGGTGGCTGGCTGGCGATCAACGGCTTCCTCGACTGCTTCTATCATGATGTTTCAGGCGTCCAGCGTCTTAACTTCTCCAACTCTATAGCGATAGTCGAAATTTGAGCTGCATGGAGGCTTGTGTCTTCCATAGTGTTCTGATCGTTAATTAGAATCCGACGGCGATGGAGTAGGACCTTTGAACGACTGTTTTCCGCGACACTTAGCACAGAGGCTGAAGAGGGGGCAGGCGGGGTTGTTCATTCGGTGTCCCTGACCACCACATTTATCGCAGACTATAGTCGGACAGCTGTCGGTAGCGTGCTCGATTGTCTTGCACTTCTTACACCATTTCAAAAGTGAGTTAATAATGGTCTAAAATCCGATTGTCACCCGCAGGCGTGGTGGGTCAGGCATTGCGCCGTTGACTCTAGTTTAACGTCGTCTCGGACGAAGGTTAGTTTAAGGTCACTTTCAGACCGTGGATACTGCTGTCAGCGACGCGACGCTCGAAACTTCTGCAGTAACTGTGGCACTTGTTGCTCAAGAGTTGTTGCCGGCTCCCAGGGCATTCGATTTTATCATGATCCCCTCTACATCTCTAGCAGTTCTTAGTCTTCTTGCCTTTGCCTTTGTATAGGACAAGCAGTAGGACTAGGTATCGACCGGCCTTGTGATTTGTAGCGCCGTAGTTAAAACATGCGCTCCTGTCTGTAGTACAATTCTCTGCTCTGTAACCGTATTTGCCGTAACGGTTACACTCTATGGCGATTTCGTGGTCTACTTCGATGTGTCGGACGGCGTCCATCTCTCTCGCAAGGAGATATTGACTGTAGATGTGTTAGGTAGTCGGGCTATCGACCATAAAGCGTTCCGTTTCCTTGTGGTATGTCGCGGGATACAGCGAAGTGTCGGTGGCCAGGATTAAGTAACCGTACCTCCAGCGCGAGTCTGCTACCAATCTTTCCATCTTAAACGTAAACGCGCTGTTGACCATCTATCTTCCCCTCTTCATAAAGCCTAATGATGGCGCGAATATTGATGTGTTGATATTCGGGCTGGTACCAAGGGTGGTTAGGATCCACGAAGCTACGGAGCTGCTCGAGACGCTTCTTTACATCAACCGGCTCTCGAAGTAGTTGATTCGGGTTTCAAGATCGACCTCGGCTGGTTGAAGAAAGGTATACGAGACGCCGGTAGATGCCTCATCTGCTGTAGCATCTGATAAAATAAGAAAAAGTCCGAAAAGAACCATCCATCATCCTGTGGAGCAGTATCTCAACATTGACTTCAACATCATCTGGGACGCTGACTGATACAATCTCTTTCCTTATCTCCTCCTCGACTTGTGACCAAATATGCCTTGAGCCTGACCTAACGAAGATTATCACGGTTGGCGTGAGATCGGTGTTTTGGAATTTTCGGTGGCGGTTTGATACGCTATTGAGGTCCATTGGAGGCCGCCCCAAAATCCGGTATTCCACAGACCGCAACAATTCTTGTGTCTTTCTGGACATCTGGAGGGCATCTAGCAGCGAACTCGACGAATGCCCAAGTCACGTACTTGGTCCTGTGCACTGGTCCTATAGGGCTCACTGCCCTCGGTTTTGTGCTTCTTGGAAGGGGGCGGCCTCGCCACATGGTGGCTAGTTAGCCCCATGACTTTGCCCTCTATTAGGACATATCCTCCGAGGGTACCACAGCCGACTTTCAAGGCACTCTTTTTGCTTCGATCAATACTCCAAAGAAACCAGCACATAAGGTTCAACAAAACCAGATTCAAACCGAAGGTCCGAAGGTGCCTGCGAAGAGAGGCTATCCAGAAGTTAGCTGGTCAAACGCCAAAGAATGACTATCGAGTCCTTACTGCTGTTGCCGATTTGGCAAATTCATAACTCTTTGAAGCGTAGATAGTCGCCATCATTTCAAGAATTATATTTAAGGAAGCCAAGAGTTTCTTGTCTCTTACTAGATATTCCTAGAGCATTCTGATATGCCCGTTGTCAGCCATCTCTTTGACTCCTGTATGAAACATCCTATTCCTTGTAGTATAAGGTAGGTAAGGTAGTTTCTGTTAGATATCAAGGCACGTGATATTGATGCCCCAAGGCGGATGCCTCACAAGTGTCCAAGGCCTAGTCTCGTTCAGGCTACATGCCTCCTTTCAACACCTACCTACCTCCTCTTCATAAAGCTTAATGGCAGCCTTGATATTGGTATGCTGTTCTTTGCGTTCATATTGAGGATCTTTTGGGTCAAGATAGCGGTAGAGTTGTTTGATGCGCTCTTGGACATCAAAAACTGGAGGCAAAGGCATGGCAGGTGAGAATTCGATACCTCCTCCGTCGGCATCCGCGAAAGGGCGTCAGCGTTAATGTGTTGTTTCCCATGGCGGTGTCGGATCTCCATTCGATCTTGGTATTTGGAGAGGAAACGTCCCAATTTGCTAAGCGCAGGGACCGCTTTCCTTTGACGGGGCCGGTATCCTCAAAAGCCTGCTTGATAGAGCTTTGGTCTGTATAAACGGTAATCGGTCCATGATCCAGGTACTAGGGGAGATTTTCGAGTGCCCACGCCAACGCGCCGGTCTCTAGCTCGCTCGGCCAAAAGTTCTTCTCAGCATCACTTAGGTCCTTCGACAGGTATAGGTAGGTACCTTCTCCATTTGCTCTTGTTAGAAGCGAAGTAGAAGGTCTGGGAGCTCAAAGGGCGACGAACTGTTCAATACTACAGCCGTAACACCTGTTTGTATCTCGGTAGCAGCAGCTATGGTAGGATCTACCATAGAATCTGTCTGGCAAATAGGTGCCATGCCCTGCTGCCTGCATATACCTTCTCTCCCGCCGAGTACCTGGCTCATATAGGTCTATATGGCCCTGTGCAAGCCGCTCTATCCTAGCAGCAGCATCCATCTATACATGCATTAGCTAAGAGACCTAGAAATCAGAGCAGAAGAGGGCAGTAAGGTCTTGTATAGAGCAACAGCTTACCGGCGTCTACTTTCTCGTAAGAAGTGTTGTTCGCATTAAATCGTCTCTTCTTCGGGATAATACCCATATTTGCTGTTGGGCGCTCTTCGCATCGTTTTAGCTCTCGCAACACGTTATAGTCTATCAGGAGCTCCGACGCCTTGATAGGCTTTGTCCACACGTACAGGGTCATCTGTTCTAAGAGGAATCACCTTTCCCGAACGTATCGGCTTCTCTGATTTGACATCAAAAAGCTTAACATTGTTCACGCCGTGGAGATGGGCCAGGAGGTGAGGAATATCTTCGAACGAAGCCGATCTAGAGCCTTCATGTTTGAGAGCCGACAGACTTCTCTGCTCTCTTTGCTGACAGGTAGTTCTTTCAACCTTCCTGTATTAATAGACAGCCACTCCTGCTCTCAAATTAAGAAATTAAGACTCTCTGAATGTCCGCCCAACGGTTTCTAAGGATTGAGATGGTCGTTTGGGGGTCTTCAAAGAGGTCAGCGACGAATAGTACTTATTATCCCCGTACATGTATTTCTGGTATAGCAGGGGGATCTCTGAATACTCACCTGTCTCCCGTGGGTTGTCCCTTATCGTTCAATTCCTCAGAGGAGTCTCTTTCCCCGCTGTAGAAACACCGCGCACCATGAGGGACACGCCCGCATTGAATTAATCATTCACTTAGCCCGAAAGGCTTGAGCACTTTATCGACGTAGGCATCCTGAACCAGGGATATAGTTCTTTCGTTCCTGTTTCGGACAATTTGGACGCCCACAAAGTACTGACAGGGCCCAAGATCCTTCATCTGCAGGATGACTGGGACATAAGCCTCGATCAATTTACTGCAAAGCAACCAGGACTCCTATTGATCCAACTCACTCGAAACTCATGGTGTCAAACAGAGGATATGCCACGCTGAAGACTAGCTGACGAAGTAGCCAAAGACGTAGAGCATACGGAAAATCCAAGATAGGCAAGTTCTTTCTAAAGCCTCATAATTCGAATCGACTAGGTGTTCGAGGGCACTTAGAGAGCATGCGCCTTAGAGGCATAGCAAGAACTTCATCCGCGAACTTGACTACCTCAACAACGCGGGCCAGGTGCTCTAGCGGAATCTGCCCAGACCATGAGCGGAGGGTCTGTAGGTTTCAACCCTTGATCGTTGTGTCAAGCCTGTTGATTGATAGAAGCTATCAGACTGTGCTATATACAGAATAAGCGAGGGGTCACATGTGTGCCCGAACAGGGTCTTAGGGAGGAACACACAAGACAACTTACCTTCTCACAGCGGTCAATAGAATCCTATCTTCAGGATCTACTGAGATAAGAACGAATATCTTCACCTGGCCTTCTGAATTCTCAAGCCACCATCTTCGGTTCTGCCGTCGGTAAAAATAGCATTCTTCCAGCGTGTAATACGTTAATCTGAGCAGAAGTATTGCAAACTTCTCCAGAATATGTCCTGTTGATTCCGATTGATTATTGAGTACGGATAAATATGTGCCACTTCTACCGGTCGACCAGCCGAAGTGACCAAGCACAAATGTTTATCTTGCGTCACATCTGAGCCGCTGAGGAGACTCTGATAAGTCGCAGGGATTCCCAATCCCAATAAGCTTGATCCCAATAGGCTTGGACCCACGGTGAAGTTAGTATCTCCACCACGGTATTTGTTTGAGCCAGGGACGCAAGGGATCTGCGAAGGTTGGTGCGCGAGAGAGTGACTTTGAAAACGGCCTAGAGTTTGGAGTGTCCTGTAAAAACATCGGTTTCCATTACTCCCGAAATGTATAGACAGTTTAAGGAGCTTCCGATTCTAACAGTATGTGATGGTCTCTTGATCGGGGACTCTGCTCTTAAATTGCAATCGATTCTGCCAATTCGACCGACTGATGATTTTGGCCCTTTAGAAATGCAACCTGTGTTGCCCCTGATTCGCTGGAGATCAGCAGAGAGAGCACTCTCGCTCGCTAATAGAACACTCTTGTAGTCTTCATACCGTAGGAGCCAGAAGTCGTCCGCTGCCTGACACTGTTTAGATGACTTCGGGAGAGTCAGGCGACGTGAGCCAAGGGTGATTAGCGCCTGAGCAAGAGCAGCAAGCTTGCCAACTCTATGCAGAATTCAAGAAAGGGAAAATTGATTCATGATACCCATGTATCAAGGTAGATGGAAATTGGATCTGGTTGAGCACCTTTCTTGGCTCTCTTAGTCGGGACGAGTCGGTTTCGAGACATCGAAGAGTTTGAGGCTGGGGTCTCAGATCGGGAGGTGATGGAGGGGGTAGAGGCTAGGGCGCTCCCGGGTTCCTCTTCCGTAGACAATCGCTAGAACATATTGCCCACCTCACCGAGGTTCTTCTTGTCGATCTTCTTTCTCTACTTTTTGCTCAATGTTTGGGGAGAGGCAGGGGGGGCTAAAGCCGTGGTTCCAGTCCTTTTGCGCTTGGGTTGTACGGGCGGGTCAGGTGCGGTGTACTCTGATGCCTAGTGTATCTCCCCACATTTCTTGCAAGCCGTTTAGGGGAGTTCCCTAGCTAGCTTGCGTTCTTCACCTATCTTTTGCCTTTCGGCTTTCTTTGTAGCCCTTCTTAAATTCTTTCCTTTCGCTACGCTTTGGCGGCCAGCCGGGCGGCGTAGTCCTCAACGTCGGCAGCCCACCCTTGCGGGGCGGTCAGGTCGGGGCGTTTGCTTAATGGTAGGTGTAGGACAGGCGTAGCGGCAGGGGGCTCGTCATCCATTTCCTCATCCTCCGTCTCGTAGTCCATTGCTAGAACAATTATCTCTTTGTCAACTTCTATCGATTCCCGTCTCTCAGATGTCTGTCTGACGGGGGGTAGAATCGGCGTGATTGACGTCTTAGGGGTTTTTTGCACAGGGTCTCTAGCTATTTTTGAGATTTCGTCAAAAAATTGGGAGGAGTGCAGGGTTGCAGAGTCTTTGGTTTCAAATAAGGCTTCGGGGATCAGCTCTATTTGGGTTCCAGTGGCAGTACGTGGACCTAACTCTGCTGGCCACCACCAAGTGCCGCACGAGGATAGCCGGCGTCCCATAGTCGGGGTACATCAAAAGCTGGTAAATCCAAACATTCAATTGCGTAAGGCTTCCGCAACAAAAACTGGCGGTAGTCCATTTCCGATGCTGATTGAAACTGCACATTTGTGTTATGCCGGTTAGACGCAGATCATCAGACGGGGAAGGTTCTCGAGGGGGATCTGCGGGGGGTTAGCGGGGCCTAAGCGGGGGTGGGTTAGACCTACTTTCAGACAAATGGACCGACTACTAGGATAGGGACATGTAGAAGTAATGGATAAGTAGCAGTAATCAAAAGGATTAACAAATAATGACCCGCAGACTCTCTTTATCCATCGAACAACCCAGAAAATACGGCAAGCCCGAGGGCTGCAATCGTCATTGCCCACCCCGAGAGAGTCAAGCGAGGGCCTCGCGAGGAAAGCAAAACACCCTATCCTGCCTGCAAAGAAGAAGAATAGCGGATGAGATATTCGTCGTATTCTTCCTCGATCAGGAGAAGACCACAGCCAAGGAGGAGGCTGAGTTCTACGTAGCAGGAGAGAGACTCCATCGCCGAGACCAATCTCGCGTGAATCTATTCAACATTAGAAAGTGCTCTAGAGAAGAGACAGAGAGCCTTACGAAGTACAGATTTCCGGATCCGAAGTAGACCTTGACCATGTCCGTCTTTGTTCTGGCCTTCTAGCATCTACCTAGATACATATATGTTGCCGTTCCGGCCGAGTCGTCGCACCATGCTGCCACGACATGTGGACATGCGTTCCACACTTGGCGTGTGTCTCGATAAGCATGTTAATGTCAAGAAAGGTCTACAGACCTTAAACATCTCGGCGCGAGTCTGTTTATGCCTGGCGTTACACGATCTCGGCAGATCGCCTTTTCTCTAGACGTGAAAAATCGCTCTAGGGTTAGGTAGTCGTGCAAGACCCTATCATTCATAGTAGATTAGTATAAAGATTAGTATAACAATTACTAGGACACGTACCCGTCTACCGTAAGATAATATGGCCCATCCCTCTTAAGCCGTTCGAATCCTCCTCTCTCAAGCTTCATAACCTTACGGTAGAAGCTTCTTTTGCTACGGCGCCATTTGCGCTGCCAGAGACGGAACTCTCGGGTCATATTGCCCTAGGCGTATTTAGCGTTATACTAGTCTTTATACAAATCCAATATAGAACTAGCATACCTGAATATAGCGGCGGCCTAGACTTGGGCTCGATCTCTTCGGGCCCTGGCCAAAGGACCGAAGGTTAAGAAGTACCTCTGTGATTCCGAAAGGTGATGCTGATTGAGGGCAACGCGTTTGACCAACGCCTTGACGTGTACCTGACCACAGTAGCCGCACAAAAAGCCTCCAAGATCTTCCGAGTTACTCGTGACTTTCTTGCACGGATTCACAGGCTTGAGAGCTTCGGGATACGTCATGAATGAGCATGACAGATTACAGCAAGCTGCAATAGAGTTACTGGCAACGTTGGAAAAGCCCTGATAACAAGTTGTTGCATCAGAAGTGGTGCTCGGGCTTCCCTTTCATACGTCTAATAGCCGCGGTACCAGGTCGCCACTCGTGGTACTCCTTCCTCTATGAGCTTCTGATCCACATACTTGTCTGTTAGCGAATCTCCTTCCACTTGGCTGTAACTTCCGGTGCTTAGGGGTTGGTTTTTACTGATCTCAACTTGCCTGCGAGCACCTCCCACCGGTCTGGGTTGCGCTAGACTTCCTGGAACATGGCTTCATTAAGTGACAAGTCCGAAATCCTTGCACTAAACCTCTGGTCTCCTGACTGCGCTGTCTGCTGCGCCTTCTGTCCTGCTTCCTCAATGAGCGCCTGGACGAGCTAATCACACTCATCACCTGCTCTGAAGAAGGAGTGGTCCTCCCCGGGCACCCATTTGCTAGTGAACTTCGCGTCCTCCTTAGCGATTGAGTGGACACGTATCATCTTCAGGGACAGGTCTATTTGTTGGGTCTGTTGGCTTCAAGGATATCGAATACGTCGGATGTCCAGATTCCCCGACCGAGGATAGAGCTAGAGGCTCCCATGAATATTTGCCCCGACAAGAGTGATTGATGGGAGAAAGTCTTTCCGATTCCTCTCGAGAGTCGAGATAAGGATCACGCCCTATGCTCAAGGAAACCAAAATGACTACCACCACTATAAGTGGGATCCAAGAGGAAATGAATCCCGGTCCATATACACGGCGAACTGTTTGTTATCTTTTAGTCTCTGCTATCGCTTTCGTTTTGCTGTCGCTGCGTTATTGTTGCCGTTGTCACTGGAATCTGCTCGAGAATCTGCTCGAGATTCTCGAATTCCAACGATGCAGTTGCTATGCTTTCTCCAAACAATATGTCGGCCATTTTTGGGATGATTGAGTGTGAAATAATTAATGCTCCGCAAGTTCATCCGTCGGAATCCGATCATCCCTTCGGCTCGCCCCGCGTCTGACACAAACATCGCTAAACAAGCTTTAACTTACAAGTCTCTTATATAAGGTACCTGGGGTACTTGGCCGCCACACCACAGCATGGCCCTGGTCGTATCTATTTACTTTCGCCTTTGCGTCTGGCTCCTTGGACAGGTACAGCGTCGATAGTCTTGCACCTCGTACACCACGGATGTGGGCACTCAATCTTGTCGTGGTCTCCTCGGCATCTCCAGCCCAGCAGGTCTACCGTCTTCCTGGCTTTGTTCTTGCCCTTTGTCGGGACCAGCAGTGGAGGGTCTGTTGACGGGATTATTGGCGGATAACGAAGTCTGACTCGGAGAACGGAGGAACTGTCGGAAAGGCCCCAGGATTCTAGGCTTGTTGCCTGCATAGATAGGGCAGGCGGGAACGTCGGCATATGTAGTAGATTCCTCGAATCTCCAATAGAACGAGCCGTTAGTCGATTGCCATAGAGAGGAGGCAAGGAGAAATCGAAATAGTAAAGCTAATATAGCTTATTATCACTATCAACAAGTGTCGACGCCCGTAGGCGCACAAGGCCTGAATGCGCTGTTAGCCTGTTAACCCCTGAAATAAACGAACCAAGTCATTCACTCAGTGAAATCATCTCACTCACGCACCCGAAGGGTAGGACGGCCGGGCGGTCAAGTACCTTGCTAGAATCGAGAAGCAGAGGTGCCCCCGTAACGAGTCTGCTCGTCCGATCAGATGGTTATGTCTGCCGTTTGTCGAACATAATCTTCGCTTGGCAACACCTGATGTTGCTCAACGTGAGCGAAGCAGCCTACACAATAGGCAAGATGCCTCCGAATAGACATAAAGCTCTGCCCGTATTTCGGGTGACCTTTAGGGTAATGGCGCTGTTAGGGAAAGTAGGAATCCAGTCTAGTACAGCCTGCACAACTTGCATCCTGGCCAGCTATCTCACGCGTGATTCGACGTTCTTGGATACTCAAGAGAGTCTCCTCATTTGGTAAGGCGTTTGAGCTGCATATGTCGGACGAGAGTATAGGAGATTCTCTTCAGTCAGTAACTCTGTCATGAACCCCCCCGGGAGGCTGCTGGCGGGGTCTCCTGTACACAGTACTGCGATGTCATCATGTCACCACGTCCTTCATCTTTTTTTTCATTGCGGTAAACGCCACTAGCGGGCGGGTCTCTGTGAGGACACAGCGGCGGAACGTTTCTTGGCACGTTCGGCTTTTCCTGGTTTGCGGTTCGCGAAAGCACCATGTCAGCAGGGGAGCCTGAGCCAAACCGATTGTAAATCCGTCGATTATTCAGTACATACCGTGGCAATAAAGGCTAACCTGAACAGCCCGAACTGCTTATGAATGCTGCCTTCTAGGGTCATCCCATTGGACGGGTCGTTTATATTGTCCGCAAAAGTACCAGGTCAGCAGGGGAGCCTGAGCCACCTCTACCTCGTTGAGCTTTGTCACAACAGAACCAGTTGAGAGAAATGAGCTTTGCTTCGTGGCATAGTAGCCCGGCTGTCTCGGCAGAAAGCTTTACCAGAGCTCAAGCTGGACTTCCGATTAAGCTCATCTAATACTCTGTTAGCTGTATACGACAAGTCAAACACTGTCAAAGCAGGAATAATATACCTTTCTTCCGACTAAGCTACCCAGCTAGCAGCTTAGCCTTGTTATCTGGTTTGCTCCTGTATAACGATATAGAAGCTGCTGTACTAGATCCTGTATCCTTAGCGCGTGCCTTGTCTCTTATTTCGATGCTCAGGGAGTCGAGAGAGTGTGTGCTTTTGGTGCTACTCTTCTAAAGGTTCTGGAGAGATCGGTGCCGTTTAGCCTATTATGGAAAGGCCTTTGGAAGTCGATTAATAAAGATGATGCTATACAGGTAGTCGCTAGGAGGGGCTACCTCTAGCTACAGCCAGAACTTATCTGCATTAGCCTTCTCTCGAGCCCGAGCCGCTTGTCTAATGCAAGCGGCTAGATAACCGCAGCTTCTGCGACACTCGTATGCTGTTTCTGGCCTATCAAACGGGTAAGGGTTTCCGCAAGGTAAGGTAGGTCACAGTAGTTATAGTTAGCTATCATATCTAAGTATTCGTGAGCGTCCTTTAGAGGTGCATAGGCGGCAGTGCATCGGGCTGTGCGGGCTTTGGCTGAGATCTATGAGCGCCGGTCCCGCTGGCTGAGGAGTCCTGTGGCGTTCGGCGGGGGAGTGAAGAACATAGAAGGAGGGACCAGCCGGTCCCTCCTGCCAGAAGGTAGTGAGGGGCCTTCCCCCCTGGGCAGATCTTGGAGGTCATGGCCTTCGGGATTGGAAATCTGCTGTAGAGCCTACAGCAATGGTAAGGTCCAGACTCCGTTGTTTCAACTTGTTGCCGTTAGGGGACAAGTGAACATGAAGGTCGCATGATTTGTTGACTTTGATTTTTGTAACCTCGTTGAGGTGACTCTATACATGCTTAATATGCTCACGGAAACGCGAGCCAAGGTAGTGTCCAACTCGAGAGTAGGGGAAACAAGCTCTAGCGGCCCTAAATATATTCTTGTCAGTATTTGAATATTACTGTATCAGACAAGGACGGGATGACAATCAAAACAAATGCTTACACTCTCTTAGGCCGGAGTCCCTATCGCCAGAACTGTAGGCTGTTTCAATGGATTTATCCTCTGTTAGGACCTATTCCTGAAATTTCCATTCGTCCTCCTTTTCATTGACGTCGTTGATTTCGAGCTCTTTGTACATTCTTCTTACCCAATCTAGCGAGGGACAGAGTATCCTTGAAGATGCCGTGTTGCTTAAAATGAAAAGCAATGCTAAATCCTAGAGCCTCTCCTGACCGCAGTGAGGAGTATATTGTCTTCGTGTTAAAATCAGTGATTCAGTAGAGCTCGTACCGCTCTCAAAGGTTGGGAAATCCAGGAGAAGCAAGCAGCAAGAGCTACCGCGAAAGGTATATAGAATTGTCCGGTGGACAAAGAAACCAAGCCTCATGAGGTTCGATCGAATGATGTTCACACAGGGTTATGAGTAGTATATATACTTCAGACCAGAAAATCGCTGAGGAAGAAAAGAGTCCTGGCTTGCTGCTGTCCGCGCGACTAAGGCATGTCCGACAGTCCGAATGTAGTGCGGGTTATCCTCTTCCTCGCGGAAGAGATGCGGCACAACTTTCTTTTCGCCATGTAGACGCCGTACATGATGGCACTGAAAAGAGACACTATAACACAGTGCCATCAGCGCTGAGTCGCTGATACTGGCGCCTACGTAGATGTCAGACTGTTTCGCATCAAGTGGTTGATAAAGGTTGCAACTTGCAGGAGGCCAGGGCCCGATGGATTCATTGGCCGTTGGGCCCGCCATATTTTTTGTATCGAGCAATGCCGACCCCAACTCAGCATCTCTCCCAGTATAATATCGTGGAGGCTTCGATTGTGAACACGTGGAGCGTCAAAGACCAATGAAGTCCAGTTCGATATAGATAAGTGTAAGGATGCATCCACTGTCCCCATTCATCGAAGGGTCCTGGATTTTGAAACAGGGTCGATGTTTGCTCTAATCGCCGGGGTACGCTCGGAGGTCAGCTACAGTGATCCACGCGCATCCTTTGGAGGGTCAGTATGCGTACCACTATCAAGATCACGAAGCTTACCTTTGTACTGAAGGCCAGTCCTATCCTCCTCTATGGACAGTGGAATGGAGGTCCCAGGTCTAGGATGATTGTTGGAATCTCCCAGGCACAAATGTAATTGCAATAATTGGATGCAACAGAAGTTACACACTTCATCCAGCTTTAGCAGAAGCTTGCCGGTGTGAGTGTTGGTATTGGTAGCCTGAGCCACCAAGCTTAACTGTGCTCGCAGATTGAGGTCTGGAAACTGCAAATAGTAAGTCAAGGCAATATCTCAGAGGGATTATTATATTGTGGAGAGGGTGTAACTTACTACTTCTGGTCATTGGGGATGGTTGTATGTATATAACAAGTGTAAGAAGTGGAGCTCCAGTTTGCGTGCCTATCTGCTAAGGGAATCCTTCTCTTCAGAAGCAAGAAGCAATTTCAAGCCTGACAAGCCATTAGTAACAGCAATAGGTCTGAAGTATTGCGGTTTGGTTTTCTCCTACCTAGATGGAGTTGGTTGGCTGGGGGTAACTAGGTAAGGGGCTGGCAGTACCATCTTGGAGTGTTGCGTCCCGGAGCCACAGACGGGATTGGGGCAGCTGTCTGTTGTGCTTGATAGGTCTACAGGCACACGCACCACAGGGGAAGGCGATCGATCTTGTCATGGTCTCCCTTGCAGAATTGACAACCTTCCCGGTTGGTCTTGTCGTAAGGACAAGAACCAGTCGATAAAGAACCTGCAGAAGAGATATATAAGACTGGCTGTGTGCTTGAATAGCGACGCCTCTTGATTGAGAGCTGTTCAACTATCATTAGCAACATACCCTAATGTTTGGCGCGACGACGCGATTGATAGATATCGATTGTGGAAGAGGAAAACAAGTATACCTTCTTTGTACCTCTAGCGACGTGAGAAGATGGTTAATGATGATTGTAGAGAAGTAACTCAAGATAATACATGGAATATTGCTAAAGGTTGTGGGAGTTCGTTTGTAGGGGATTGTTGATAAGGACAGTTGGTATACGAGGCTATTGACAGAAAGATCGAACGCGCCTATTCCTCGAGAAAAAATAAACGAAAACGAAATAAAACCAGACAAGAACCACATCCAGAAATTCCTTTTTGAAGCACGAAAAGTCTGACGGTACAACAATGAGGATGAAAGGATGAAAGGATAAGTGAAAAAACTCAGATATATGTAGGTAGGTCAGTCTGTCACAGATATCGCTTGATGTACGGCCAGGAAGCTTGAACAGGTGTTACTATATGTGTGTTGTTTGCAGGTAGGTGAGTCTTAGGCAGACGGCTGGCTGCTTCTGTTACTCCACAGTACCAGTTATCAAGTTGGATTTAAGCAAGAGGGAATCAAGTTGCCGCCCCCCTTCCCCTCCGTAAATGCGCCTATCCGGTCTTAGAAAAGATACCAACAACGTGGCATATATATCCAGCATCGGCAATAATGATAATCTATATCCTGGCTACCAAACTCTGCATGGCAGCAATCCAAACCAGGCAATAATTGCTTATCACTGCATCACAGATCACAGATCACCTCTTACAGCCCATGTTTCCGCATCCTTGTATGTTCCACGGGTTTAGGTGATTTCCACATTTGTGCCTCTTGACACCATACTAATCTCATTTGTTTAGAATAATTTCACAATCCTCTCGTTTCCATAGACAAACATGGCTTCAAGACAAACAGGAAAAGGCTGTTTTCATGTTTTCATGTTTGCTTGAAGCCACTGCATCCAGGCCTTCCGCGTCAATAGAGCTCCCGTAATCAAGGTTGCTCAATAGTTGAGACTGTATGATTGTGGAAACTCACATCTTGCATTTTCAAAGTGTTGTACTTGTTGAGATGACACGCTCTTGTGTAGAAGTCCACAGAGTGTTGAGTTGAAGCAGAAGAGGAAATCATCCTACAGATGCGAGATATTTTTTATTGCATGGTGAGCGTTGGGGTGTAACCGGCCGTGCAAAGATGCATTACAGATCATTGCTTCATGCATGATGCATGTATGGTGCCGTGCTTCATGTGTGTTGTGAGATGATGTGAATCTGACCAGCTGAAGTTTCTGTCGCTTGACGGCAAGATAGATGAAAGAGTTCAAGGGATGAGAGTTGCAATATCAGGTAAATAGCTGTGCAGGAAGGATTCTCAATCTGTATGTGATAGCTCTGAATTATATCTCAAATAGCCTGCAAACGCAGGATGCATCAATACGACATCAAGAAGCTGAATGTTCGTGCTCTGATACAGATCTGCCGCGGTATTGCCCACTTCAATAACCGTGCAGGGGGAGGTCTGTGTGTAGGATGTGCCTGGACTCCCAGTTTAAGCGGCGAGAATTGAGACCTCGATTAGTATGATAGAATGGCTGATAGAAAGTATATCTTCATTTTTGACATTTCAAGAATAAATCCGACAACCCCCCCCTTTTTCTTCCCCCTAAAATCTACCCCACCTACGACGACAAGTAACAAACCAATAAAGCTCCGAAAACCCCTGGCCCACCCGGATCGTACGCTACGCAATACTAAGTGGCCACCGCCCCGTCCCTGAGATTCCAGATACAGTCCCAGCCGAGCACTAAACCCCCCAGCTATCCGGATCGCGATAGGGATCGACAGGGTAGGGGAAAAAAGATTCCCCCAAGAAATTGCCCGATTCTCACATTATCCCTTGCTTCTCGTCTTCAGAGCATTCTTCACCACCTCAAGACACGTCCAACGTCAATTGTCTCTTGCGAGCCTTGCGAACACTGACCTACTCCCCCGCGGTCTAATTGAGTCCACCAACAGGCACGACAGAAAGACACGAGAAACGGCGGGGAGACGACAAGAGCCGACAGCTCAGCATCTATCAGGGGCTTCGACATTCAACTACCGGCAATCAAGATCGATCATCCATCTATCCGTGCACCTCCTCCACCTGCTGGAGATTCTCACCCACAACCGCACCCGACGTCCCCGATCCCTATGAATCCCCATCGTCGTCGTTCATCCCCTACAGTCTCGCGCTGATCCGCCAACATTACACTGCTCGCGCGCCCCCCTCTTCGTCATGCCCTGGCGCCCTCTGCCCCGGATTGCCTTCGCAGTCGCGACCTACCCCTTCGTGGCCTCCAGCCCCGCCGACCTGCCGCTCGAACTCGGAGACGAACTATACATTATTGAGGAGGGCGGCTACAATGGTGAATGGCTACGTGGATACTTGGTGGCGCCCCCCAGTCTCCTGGCTGGCCTGACCAGCATCAAAGGACAGACTTTGGAAGCGCGGGTCTTCTCGGGCATTTTCCCCGCGTCGTGCGTGGAGGTGCGGGAGGTGCTGGGAGACGGCGATGAGGAGAGCGAGGACGACGGACATGGGCAGGATGGGGAGGTGACTGCGGCCCAGAGAGGGAGCCTCGACGGGGACTCTAGCTCTAGGAATACTCCCACGCCCCTCCTACAGCGCGGGAGCCGACGCGGCTCGGTCAAGAGCACCAATAGCAAGATTTCCAAACCCTCGAGAGGTAAGAGGAGGAGTCTGGCAAATGGGACCTCCGCCCTGATCGCGAAGCGGGATCCCAATGCGCCGAGACCGCCAGCGCCAGTGCCGATGCTGAAGATTGGTGATGAGACCCCGACGTCTGCTTCCGAGCCCCTGGTTGACGAGATTGCGAGCTGTCTGCGCGAGTGGCATTCTGCGAAGCTACACGAGCTCCTCCTGAGTCGGCAATACTCGCGGTTAGATAAAATGTCAAGTTTAGTGAACGTACTTGATCTCGCGCGGCGGCAGCTCTTGCATAATGTCCTGACAACGCAGGAGATGGGACTATTGAGGGAGAAGACCGTATGGGATCTGGTACGCGGGAACAAGCTGTTTAATGGGGAGGTCATTGTGCGCGATCCTGCGCAGCGGGGGAGGGTTCTCACGGCGGAGGATTCAGCAGTTGAGATCACACGGTTACAATCTATGATGAGTCTTTTGGACGAGCGACCACAACCACCGGTCCATGAGAAGCTGACGCTTTATCACCTGCTCATTGATGTCAAGACCTTCGTCGGAGCGAGCTCAGACCCCACGACCCTGGTCTTCTTTCTTGCTACGAAAGCTCCTGGAGCCCCAGCAAAGGCGATATCAGAAAGCTATATTGTAGAGGTTCCTCCCAATGGTGCCCTGACGGGCTTTGCCAGTGCAAGCTCGATGAAGACCTTATTCACGGACCTAGCTGCGGCGGACATCGGGGAGGCACCATCTGCTGACAATGAATTATATCTGGTTTTAAAGGTCCGGTCAGCGCAGCAGCTCACGGCTGGCAAGCCTACTTCACGTGGCGGTGGAACTTCGAATGGTGAGAATCCCCAAACGTCGGGTGGGAGCAGCAGGTCAGGACGGAGAAGTATAATGTGGGGCCAAAACTCGAAACGATCAGCTTTCTCTAGGAACGCACCATCTTCGTCCAGGGTCAATACGGTATCGGAGACATCCAATGATAGCAACAGCGAGAATCAGGATGGCCCTCCAAGTACCGCTGGATCGAGAGGTTCGTCTTCACAAGAATCCAAACCTGGAACTGTGAGCCGGACAGTAAACAGAACTGTGGGTGTTGGGGTTCTAAAACTGAATTCTATCATGAAACAAGGAGAAGAAGTGGAGCAACTTATGTCCATTTGGTCGCCAGCCGGATCCGGCGAGAAGAAAGATCAGGGGGGTGACGGCTGGGACGAAGTCATCCGGGATCTCAGTGATACCAAGTCCGATTACTATGAGAGAGCCCGAAGGGCCGAACGGTTGCAGGTCCACCTGAAGGCATTTGAAAACCCCGATGCAGACGCCTTGATCAAGGCAACTCCTACTCTACTTTCAGACGTTTCCCAGACGAGTAAGATGGGCTTTTCAGGCGCTCCAACCAAACCAAGATCAGACATCTACGTAACAATCGACGAAGCTTTCCTCCCTCGCCAGGCACTCCTGTCTCGCTCTTCAGGCAGCGCAACAGCACTCTCACCCACTTTGACCTGCTCGAATCTCCAAGTAACCCTCGAAGTGCGCCGCGCAAACGGGGACCGGATCGAGGGCTGCATATTCGCCTCGTCCAATGGCGATGCCGAGAGTTCTTGGGAATCAACTGCAGCCGCACGAGGTGATGCATGGAATCAAGTTCTTCGTCTATCTATCCACTCTAATGATGTCCCTGGCTGCCATCTTGTGATGGTCATTTCTGATGCGCCGTATCAGCCGTTTGCAATCTGTTATATGCCGCTTTGGGACCAGGGCGCTTTTATGAGGGATGGCCATCATTCGCTTCTTTTGTACAAATACGATGAGACTACCATGATCCCCAAGTTAAATACGCAAGGTAAAGGGGGATATCTGAATCTTGGGTGGAACGCCAGGGGTAAAGATGATGTGAGCAAGGACGAGGCTGTCACGGGACCGATTGCGACCCTGAGGGTGCAGACATACCTCTGCAGCACCAAATTTTCTCAGGATAAGGTTCTGCTGGGCTTACTGAAATGGAAAGAGGAGCCGCCTGGAGATGTGCAGGAGTTACTGAAACGACTGGTCTTTGTTCCGGAGATCGAGGTTGTGAAACTGCTCAACGATGTGTTCGATGCCATCTTCGGAATCCTGGTTGAGAATACAGGAAACGATGATCTCGAAGATCTTATATTCAGCGCTCTAGTCACAGTCCTGGGTATTGTGCACGACCGAAGATTCAACCTAGGACCTTTGGTAGATCAATACGCCGAGAACAAGTTCAACTACCCATTTGCAACACCCTGCCTAGTCAGGTCCTTCTCTCGCCTCCTAGCAAAACCTTCCGAACCAGAAACCTCCCGTCAATTACGTGCAACTTTCAAAGTCGTTCGCCACATTCTCAAATTTATCACTCACGCCAGAGATCAGCAAAAGGTAAAAGAGGCCGGAATCGGTATTACAAGCACATCGCCAGGCTTTAAGCGGCACCTGCGTTCTATCTTCAAAGATCTCGATGCACTGATGCGGAGTACCGCACCTATTCTGGTTGGGAGTCAGACACTGGCCGTTCAACATTTTCACACTTGGCTCCCTGAACTCACGGGCTTGCTGAGCGTGGATGAAATTTTGCATATCGCAATTGATTTTATGGATTCATGTGCGCTAGTTAAGGGCAAGCTGGTCTTGTATAAGCTTGTTCTCATCATCAACGTTTCTAAGCTGAGCCTGTTCTCGCAACCTGTGCAGAGAGCTGCCCTGATCGCGAATACAGTTCGTTGGATTGCGCCCCACTGGGGCAAGACTATGGAGGTTACCGAGCAGTGGAGGGAACAGGTTCGGCTCTGTTGTTCCATCTTGTCAACTCAGATCAATGATCTTGGAGCGGAGATTCCAAAATATATCCCAGCGATCGTTGATTCATATATTTCACTTCAGGGTCCACCCAAGACGCCGAAGACGCGGCTATCATTACTTTTCCCTACAACGTACCCATTTCCAACCAAGCCACTCTCAAAAGAGGCCGAGTTTGACGAGGCGCTCTTTGAACTTTCTGCTATCCTCTCGGCGGTATCGACGCGACCAACAGGCATGCAACTGGATCTTGCAGAGGAGGAGATGGCTAATCTACTTGAAGATATGCTCCATGTCCACCTCAGTATTCTCGAATGCCAAGCCTTTCCTGCAGACTGGCTAAGTGTACACATCTACCACCACAAATCGACAATGAAGGCGCTGCAATATATCGCCGGCATCCTGATCAAATTCTTCGTGCCAGAACCAGACGATGCAGAACAGTACAATACCGAGCTTTGGAAAGTTTTCTTCACTGTCCTGCTGAAGCTCGTCGGTAGTGATGCTCTCGCGCTCGAGACCTTCCCTGAGCAGAAACGCCGCGCTGTCTGGAAAATCGCTGGTGATGTCCGTGAACATGGCGCCGAGCTTTTGAGAAAGACCTGGGAGACTATCGGATGGGAAACTAGCGCTGAGGAGCGCCAGAGGTACGGCTTGGCCAAGATGGGTGGTTACCAAGTTCAGTATGTTCCTGGTCTGGTGCGACCAATCGTCGAGCTCTGCCTCAGCGTACACGAAGGCCTTCGAGGGGTCGCCGTTGAAGTTCTTCAGACTATGATCGTCAGCGAGTGGACGTTGAGCGAGGATCTTTCCGTCCTCCAAACGGAGTTGATCGACTGTCTGGATAGTCTATTCAAATCGAAGCCGTTGACCGAGAGCATACTTCAGAAGCTGTTCATCAGCGAGCTACTAGGTCGCTTCGAACTATTGGCTGAGATTCCAGATGATCCACTGTACGCTGCTCTCCGGGAGTTGATTGCCACCATCGACGAGTTCTTAGATCTTCTCGTGGCGGTCCACAGTACGGATGTCACCGGGGAAGCTTCACACATGATTCATCGGCTGCGGTTGATGGAGTTCTTGAGAGATATGCAGAAGGAAGAGATCTTCATCCGATACGTCCATCAACTTGCTGAACTGCAAGCAAACGCCAGGAATCCTACCGAAGCAGGTCTCGCATTGCGTCTGCACGCTGATCTGTATGACTGGGACCCAACGAACATCGCCCCTCCTCTCACAGACCCGGTGTACCCAGCCCAGTCACATTTCGATCGCAAGGAACGAATCTACTTTGATATGATCAAATATTTCGAAGAAGGTGAAGCTTGGAGTAGTGCCCTGGAAGCGTATCAGGAGTTGCAAATCCAATATCAAGAAAACGTCTTTGATTTTCCCAAGCTAGCCAGGACTCAGCGCGCTATCGCCACAATATATGAGACGATTGCGAAGAGTGACAAGCTGGTACCAAAATACTTCCGCGTTACATACAAAGGCATGGGTTTCCCACCCAGTCTCAGGGACAAGGAATTTGTCTTCGAAGGCTCACCCACGGAGAGAACATCGGCATTCACAGACCGCATGCAAGAACAGCACCCCTCAGCGCAGATCGTCACCAACCATGGCGAGGTAGAAGACGTCGAAGGCCAGTTCCTCCAGATATCCTCCCTTATGCCACACCGCGATTTGGAACACCACGTTTTCCAACGAGCCCGTGTCCCACAGGTCGTTCGAGATTACCTCATATCCACGAACCCTCAGTATTTCTCCGTAACCACCAAACGCCATACCTCCGGCCCAGCGCATGCTCACAGCGCCGAGAAGGTAGTCTACACTACGGCCGATACCTTCCCCACTATCCTTCGGCGCTCGGAAATCGTCTCCACCACGCGTATCCAGCTTAACGCTCTACAGACTGCCGTCGAGCGTGTAATCCGCAAGACGCAAGAGATGGCCGTCGTTGAGAAGCGGCTTGTGGAGGGAGAGGAAGATATGGCGCCGCTGCTGATCGAGGCGTTGAGCATCTCCGTGAATCCAAATTCCGACTCGAGCGTGGTGAAGTATAGGGACTTGCTACCCACGAAGGTCGATGAGGACGACGAGGTGGAACTTTCACCCCTGGAGAACGCACTCAAGATTGCGCTCATTGACCACGCCGTTCTCATCAAGAGATGCCTGAACTGGTTCTCGAGATCCGCCAACCCCGGCATGCAAGGGGTGATGAAGGAATCCCGTGAGGAACTGCAGCAGAGTAATACGCCCTCTTCCTTCACTGTTCATCCGTCTCTTTACCCGACACTCACTAAAGCTCTCTCAGATTTTGAATCCACCTTTGCTCCCGAACTCGCCTCCTTCATCTTCCCGCAGCCCGCGCAGCGCGCCTCCCCCGCCGCCCCCTCCTGGTCCATCGCGTCCCCCGTCCAAGACCGCGTCACCAGCCCTCAAATCCCGACCTCCATGACCAACGGAACCATTGCCACGACCGACACCTCAATCCTCGACCCGCCCGCCGCAGCCCGGCAGAAGCGCCAGTCCACGCGACTCTCCTTCCTCAAGCGCCCCCCGCCGCTTGAACCCGTCTCGCGCGAGAAGAGTAACGGATCCATCTCCCACCGCAGGTCCGAGACAGGCAGCTCCTTCCGCAGCGGCACGAACACAAACGTGAGCGTCAGCCAGCCTCTCGCGGAGAAAGAAGAGGAAGACACGGAATGGGTCACCAGCAGTGACCTCTCGGCCCCTAGCGCGCCGCGCGGTAGACGCAGCAGCAGCTCGAAACGCGATCCAAATGGCACGAGCGCGCGTGACTCAACAAGTGTAGGCTCGCGCGTGGGCAGCGTCCGGCGGAGACTGAGCAGGCTGAAGCTCGGTAAGAAGAGCAGTAAACCTAATGTGAGGGTGGGGAGCGTGGCAGAGGAGGATGAATAGGCGCTGCTCTCCTCTATTCTTACATCCGCGGGTCCTCGGGAGACGGAGCTACCCATAATAATCAACTCCGCGTTGGAGTACGCACTCTTTGAATTTCCTTTCTGCACGTCTGTCTGTCTGTCTAGCGCTGGTGTTTTGATATTCCTTCGGGCTTAGGTATATACCCGGATCCTCTCTCTCTTTTCCCCGTTTCTTGTGTGTGGGAGGGGGTGGAGAGGGCTGAGATTCTGTAATTTGTAATTTTCTTGTATGCATGTAGCTATGTATGTATGTAGGCTGGGTGGATGGATATCGGGGGAAGGGAAAGGGGGGGG